AAAAATATCTTTAAAACCTAAAAAACCAACAAAAGGTGTTTTACCTAAAATCCGGGCCTTATTTATAAGACTTTTAGCAGAGAAATGGTAGGAACCTAACTATGGCGATTAAAATAAATATCCGGAATTATTCAGAGGTTGTATTTGATTATTATAAAATAAAACACAAAGAAAAGTATTTATTAACATTTTGCCGGGGTGGTAATAAGTCAAGTTTATTTCATAATTACCCATATAACAACATAATATGTGAGGTATAATAATTATAACAATTATAATTTTTTATATACGATGCGCTTGACTTGACTTGACTTTCTTATATTGTTGCCACTGTACGTTTTATTTTAAGTTTCTTTTTATATACCTACGCAAATATTCATCTAACCATTGTTCCAAACAATTTTTAGACACAATATCGATTTTCTCAGCTGACCAATTAGAGCACAGCTGATCTGTCATGTGATGGCATCTTCCCGCGTTTTCAAGATAGCTCTCCTGTCACTACTTACCAAGTGTTGCCGGTTGCGGGTATTTTACTCGGAAATCGGGTATTTTTGTCATGTTTGCGGTTAGAATTTTGTAACGAATATTTTGCAAATTTCGGTCAAAATACTAACTGAAGAAATTTTCAGTAAATAATAATTCAAATAAATAAAACAGGGCGAATGCGCTAGTAAACTTAATTTGTTTTACGAGTTCGACTGTCGACCATATCATGCCTTTGCGTTGCGAAGAATTGTTATAGTTATTATACCTTATGTACTTAATCGACAAGGGAACCAAACGTTTTATTCTGTTCAATTAAAATAAAGTTTGTTTACCTATATTGTAAACATTGCTTCCGTGTTTTTAGAAGCCTTATAACAACACAACAGTGTTTATAAATACTTTTTATTGTGCTTTCTTTTGCAATAACCAAATACAACATTTTATTATTAAAACTTTCTCTTACCCTGATAGCACGCTTTATTCGAAGAATGTTTTTTAAACCTTCCAGTGAGAATATTCTTAGGATCATGCTATTTTTCTTCTAAAGAACATGCTTAAAAGACATATAGCATGATCCTAAGAATATTCTTACTGGCCTATAGGCAGGTTCTTAGAAGGTGCAAAGTTTTAGCGGTAAAAATTAGTCTACTCTAAACATATGCTTAGAATGTTAAGAAAGTAATTGCTATAGAAAGTTCATTTAGGAATATTCCTGTTAAGCATATTTAGTTCAGTTACCTATATAATAGTAAAATATACCATAAACTACGTATACAGGTATTTACCTATACTAAAGTACCTAATTAGTAATTATTCTTAAATACTAAGTAAAAAACACAATCCAAAATATTTTTTTATAGTTATTTGTCAAATTAAAACAATATTCGATAACAAAAATACTTTTACTCTAGGTATTTTATTTTATGTTAAAAATAAATATTTATTAATTTGTATACCGATTTTTTATTTCTGAATTAACGTTTTTATGTATAATAATCCTAACTATCTTCAACTTCAATCTAATCTGACTTATCCCACAAAATTTTCCAATTTTACTTTTTATGAAATAATGTCATACAACTTATGGTTTAGAGGTCAAATTGTTTATTTAATATTTTATGTCGCAAAGTTTTTTAAGGGGACGACAAATACATTTCACTGTCATATTATATTTGTCGTCTCCTGAAGAACATAAGAAACCTAAGAAATTCCAAAAACGTATCCTTAATTCCAAAAACGTATCCTTAAAATGTTCTTAGGATGCTTTTTATGAAGGTTTTAAGAAGCTTTTAAGAATCTAATTGCATCATTCTTAGCAATAAGGAAAGGTTCTAAGAATATTCCATTATTCCGGGTCATATCTTTTTAGAAGATTCTTAAAATCAAATTTTGCTATCAGGGTAAGGGTTAAGATATCCCACTTCTTGCTACTTCTTATCTGTATTAACTTCGACTTTGTTCCATTGTTGCTCTATCTTCCTCTTCTTTACTCTAAGGATTCTATCATTAACGTTTTGTCTTTATTCCAGCAATTCGTATGGAACGACTTCTGCGAAGACTACGTCCCCACAGACATCAAGCACACATACTATCCATCCGTAATAACGAATGAGCGTTTGTACGAGATAAAAATATCGGATCTACCGGTGATTCCCTATTTCCCCGTGAATTCATACTACGAATGGGCGAATTACCGGTACTACGGCCTCAGAAGCGCCACAGCATACATTCTCGTGTTCGATTTGTCGAACATAGAAACCTTCCAGTACGTAAAAACGTTACGAGAGCAAATCTGCGAGAGTCGCAATATGTCGAACGTACCCCTGCTGGTGGTAGGCAACAAGCAGGACCTTATCGTGACGGAGGAGGGTGTGACGTCATCGTCCAAGCCCGCTCTGACCGGAAATCTGGACGAAAAAAGACGAGACATCGCCAACTTGGTTAAAAAGCACTGGAAGTGCGGGTACTTGGAATGCAGCGCCAAGTACAACTGGAAAGTGGTGGCCGTTTTCAAAGAATTAATCCACATGATTGACAATCTCGCCTCTAGAGAGCAGAGCCCCATGCTCGACAACATCCAGGAAGCCCTAGATAGGAATAAGTGTGTATTAATATAAGCTTACCTACACTAACACTTGATTTTTATGTTAGCAGCAATAATTTAGGGACAATCTTTGTAAAATATTACGGTAACAGCCAACATGATAAAACGTAAATACGGTTGTGATTAACTTTGTTAAGTTGCATACTTGTAGCCAAATGTGATTATTGAAATAAAAAGAGATTAAACTATGCCGAATTTTATTTACACACCTGAACAATAAATTCAAATTTTTAAGAAATTTTTTAAAAGTACCCAGAATCTGCCATTTTTCGGAAATCTGGCAACATCGCATTGTATCAGGAGTATACCTCCTCGCGTTTCTGCGATCCTAATAAAAATTCGAAAATTTCAAAATTTTAAGAATCGGTTTAAATTTTTAAGAAATTTTTAAAAAATACCCAGAATCTGTGATTTTTCGGAAATCTGGCAACATCGCATTGTATCAGGAGTATACCTCCTCGCTTTTCTGCGATCCTAATACAAAATCGAAAATTTCAAAATTTCAAGAAACGATTTAAATTTTTAGGAAATTTTTAACAAGTACCCATATTCTAGGATTTTTCGGAAATCTGGCAACATCGCATTGTATCAGGAGTATACCTCCTCGCTTTTCTGCGATCTTAATATAAATCCGAAATTTTCAAAATTTTAAGAAACTTTTTAAATTTTTAGTAAATTTTAAAAAAGTACCAGGATCTGGGATTTTTCGGAAATCTGGCAACATCGCATTGTATCAGGAGTATACCTCCTCGCGTTTCTGCGATCCCAATATAAATCCGAAAATTTCAACATTTCATCAAACGGTTTAAATTTTTAAAAAGTACCCAGAATCTAGGATTTTTCTGAAATCTGGCAACATTGCAATGTATCAGGAGCACACCTCCTCGCTTTTCTGCTATCCTAATACGAGCCCTAACCACATAATGTTCGGACACTTCATAATTTATACAGAAATTTTTTTCGTGAATACTATCTCAAAATTATTAGAAGTTATGAAAAATTCAGCTTATTTTGGCATATACCCCTCGAAGCGATTTTTATTTTTAAAAAGTTTACCTTTTATTTTTAGCTTTTAAAAAAAGGCTAACTTTTTAACTTTTTTTTGCATGAGTAAAAAAAGTTATAAATGGGCCCATTAAAAAGAGCATAAAATATTATACAAACCCTGAAAATTTGGTAAAAAATAAATAAGTTATAAAAAAGTATAAGTAATTTAAAAATGCTATTTTTAAAGAGTTTTTGCAATTTTCTTAGGAAACGGGAGATTTTGCAGATATATATATCGCTATAACTTTCTTATTATTTATACAATTTTTACCAAATTTTCAGGGTTTGTATAATATTTTATGTTCTTTTTAATGGGCCCATTTATAACTTTTTTTACTCATGCAAAAAAAGTTAAAAAGTTAGCCTTTTTTTAAAAGCTAAAAATAAAAGGTAAACTTTTTAAAAATAAAAATCGCTTCGAGGGGTATATGCCAAAATAAGCTGAATTTTTCATAACTTCTAATAATTTTGAGATAGTATTCACGAAAAAAATTTCTGTATAAATTATGAAGTGTCCGAACATTATGTGGTTAGGGCTCGTACAAATCCGAAAATTTCAAATATTTAAGAAACTGTTTAAATTTTTAGGAAATTTTTAAAAAGTACCCAGAATCTAGGATTTTTCGGAAATCTGGCAACATCGCATTGTATCAGGAGTATACCTCCTCGCTTTTCTGCGATCCTAATATAAATCCGAAATTTTCAAAATTTTAAGAAACGGTTTAAATTTTTAGTAAATTTTAAAAAAGTACCAGGATCTGGGATTTTTCGGAAATCTGGCAACATCGCATTGTATCAGAAGTATACCTCCTCGCGTTTCTGCGATCCTAATACAAAATCGAAAATTTCAAAATTTCAAGAAACGATTTAGATTTTTAGGAAATTTTTAAAAAGTACCCAGAATCTAGGATTTTTCGGAAATCTGGCAACATCGCATTGTATCAGGAGTATACCTCCTCGCTTTTCTGCGATCCTAATATAAATCCGAAATTTTCAAAATTTTAAGAAACGGTTTAAATTTTTAGTAAATTTTAAAAAAGTACCAGGATCTGGGATTTTTCGGAAATCTGGCAACATCGCATTGTATCAGGAGTATACCTCCTCGCTTTTCTGCGATCCTAATAAAAATCTGAAAATTTCAAAATTTTATCAAACGGTTTAAATTTTTCTTCTTAAACTTACTACTTCTATTTTCCATATAAGATTTTAATATTAACGCTGTTAATATTAAAACCATAATATTACTTACCTAACAAGATATGATTGACACAATCAAAATCACAAAAGAACGCGACACTACCCCTTGCGATTTTTATTTATGCATTATTAAAATACATTAATGTTACAATAAAACAAATTATTATTAAATAATAATCAACATTTATTGTGTATTAAAATATATACATTTTGTTTATTCATCCATAACATCTAAAAATGCACCTAGCCTAGACATAGAGATTGTACTAGGAATAATAAACATGTTTTCAAAATTGTCCAAAATAGTGGCCTTTCCTAAAAAAAAAACTTTAAAAACAAAACAAAAATAATTCAATTTACTTACGAGAATCCACTGGTGTGGTTAAATCCGTGAATAAATTAATTTCCACAGTTTCATACGTCCACAATTCCAAACAATCCAAATCTTGCAAAATCTACAATAAAATAATTACAAAAAAAATATACAAAAAGTGTATTTATTTACCTCCAACAAATAAAATAAATCAACAGGTTTCACATAACAATATTTCTCGAAAAGACAGCTTAAAAAAGTGTTTGGGTTCTCCATTGTGTAAGAGAGGACACAACAGAGCCACTTTCTGAACACAGGAATATTAAATGAGCCGTCCACCTTTATCCAAGGCATTATTTGTACTTTTAGTTTATCGACCGGTCTAAAAAACATTATTAAACATATTAAAAAAACAAATCATTCTAATATTTGTTTATACCTCAATTGTGATTCAATTTCTTCCTTGGCATCCTTGAGGCAGTCCTTATTTTTTTCTATGAGAGCTTCATCTTCATCTGTGAGTTTGAAGGTGTCCATTACCCAGTGGTTTTTAAAGCTGTGATGTACGAATTTTCTAGAGCATATGCCACATTGCAGCACAATGTAATGATCCAAAAGGAATTTTATCATCGCGTCCAAGCTCAGAAAATGTGTGTTTTGAAAGCCGGCCTGCAATAATTGTTACAATCGTGGGACACCCTATATTATACAGGGTGTTCCAACGAAATCTTTCATCGTACGAGTGTGGACAAAATTCCTTGGACACGTCAATTTTTATTTTTAGGGGGACGAATTTTGATGTATGTTTAAATCAAAAGGGTAGAAAAACTTAATACGAGTGTTTATTACCCCTTAATGTGTTAAATAGTGACAAAATGTACACTACAGTGCATGCCAATTTCTTTGTCTGTTTTGATGTTACTAAGAGCTCTTTTCTTTACACCACTAGTGCACATTGTATCACAATTAAAGTTAAATTACACCAATAGTGGCAAAATAGACTGAAAAAACTGGTAATAACCGAAATGCGTTTTAAAATGTTTGGTTGGTACCTATCTACCTACGCAGTGCATATACGGAGATACCGCGTTGTGGAAGTGTGGCATTTTTGTTCAGTTAGATTTTAATTACGGTGAATCCATAAGAGGACATTCTTATTTTTTGGTAAGTATTATACTTTCTTTTTCTTTAAGCCTTAATACTCAAAAAATACCAATAAGTTAAAAGGATGTCCATACCCGACCTATATTATATATTTACGGCAGTAGGTCGGGTACTTGTAACATTAATAATATAAATACATACACACTTGATTTACTTTTTATTTTCAAGAGTAATGGTTGTTATATTAACCTATACCTACATTTTTATTAATATTATGGAAAATTTGTACACGTGTGGTAAATCCCCGACATACAGCCGCCTAACGCCTCTCTACCAATGGGATCACCCATTTTTTATAACAGAAAAATGGATTACTGATGAATGCTCAAGATAATTCATTGCTTACAAGTTGACAGCCAGCAAAACATTGCATTGATCTAAAACTTTTACGTTTTAAGGAACCATTTTGCTTAAGCCAGCCATACGAAATAATTATATTTTAAAAGGCACCGATTTTGATAATTGTTATAGATTTTTGTTCCAAATAAATGTTTCTCTTTATTTACCTTTTCGTTTTATTTACTACCACCAATAGGTTTTACTCAAATAATAGTGTTAATTTACACTAAAAGTTTGCACTAAAAGAGTAAAAGTACCTTTCTAAAATTAGAACTTTTCCAAAGTAGTGTTAATTTACACTGAACAAAAGTGGGATTTTACCCAGGAAGTGTAGAAGTACACGATTTTAGGTAAATTAACACTTTTTAATTCAGTGTAAATTTACTTTATCCTCAGTGCTATAGTGTTAAATCATACTTGCTTACTTGGGGAAAATTACACTACAAATTAACTCTAAATGTAGTGTTATAAAACAACACTATTTAGTGTGGACCTGTGTGAACTCTAATTAGTGTTGCTTAGAGTTGATTTTTTTACTGTGTAACTTACGTTTTTTCCGGGATGATTATTATTAAAAATTCGTGCCGAGGCGTTTGCACAATCATTATTTCGATAATAGGTTGCAATAATTTCCGTTCTTTCTTCAATGGAGTATACCATTTTAAGAATTTTGAGGAATTTTGTCCACACTCATTTGATAAAACGTTTGGGGGGGGGGTACAAGTTTTCGTTGGAACACCCTGTATATAACAACGGACATACCTGTATATCTGAAGTTTCCACTCCTAGGAACCCTCTCTCTTTTATAAAATCCGCCAATTCGTCGAGTAAAGCAAAATCTATGGAATCACCACCGACATTTTCGACCTCGTTGAGTAAATTTTTGTTTTCCGGTTCATAAATGTACGCTTTCCTGCAGAAAAACAGTTTAAGGGAAAATAATAACAGTGAAAAATTGTACGTCAAGAATGGGGTAGTTAAATTTTTTCTGACCTATACTTTTTATGGTTTTATTCAAGGCGTTTTGTAATTTTAAACATTTCTGTGAAATCGGAATTTCAATTGAGTTTACCGTTTTCGAGATATTTACAAAAAAAAATCTCCTAATTACGTCACTAGGCTATTGACAACGTTGCCAGCTTTTTCTATGGTTGCCAGTGTGTTTAGTTTAAGATTCTTACGATAGATGGCGCCACGTTATAATATTTTAGTTTTAAAACCACTTGATCTATAATTTTAGCTGAGAAGAAGAAGAAGAATTGATTTTTTGACGTTTCTTTTTTTCGGGTTATGTTTTTTTTAAATTTAGATTGTTGAAAATCAATGTTATTGTTATGTTATTTGTAATTGATATTAGATAAGTGATTTATTAATAACGGACTCCAAAGCAGAGGAATCTTGTGGAATGGTTGGTTACATTGAACATTGGAGCTTTTAAACAAATAAAGTAAGTACCTATAATTATAATCATATTTTGTCGTAAATGCATTTCATTAGTATAATGCCTAGTTCTTTATATTCTTTTAGATATATCTTGGAATCTAAAATATCAAACAGTAATATGATACCTTGTAATAAGGAAGATAGGTACTTAATGAATTTGGTGACCAAAAATGTACTCCAGAGCGTAGTATCTTCGAACAGTCCAAAAGTTTGTCATACATTTTTTTAATCTTACAAAAGGTTTTGATGCTCATCATCAGGGATGCAAGTTTTATAAAAACTATACACAAATATCATAAATACCATTGTTAACTTACATTTACTGTTATTTTTTGTAAATTTATTTAATTAATTTTCAGCTTTATTTTGTCACTTTTTTCTATGAAATATATTAAACTCTGCTTTAGACAGTTATTAGGTACCTATTTATTACATTTTATTAGGTTTCACACGGTGTTTCAATGTTTAAACCAATTAATAAAACTTATAATTTCAGAATTTTCTTTAACCTCCTCTTCTTCTTTCACTCAACTGACAGTGACAGTATTTGTACATAACCTCTTTGGTATTTTCTGACCTAACCGAATGAAATCATTAACAAGACAACTTGACAACAGGGTAATTTTTAACCAATAGAAATCTTAGAATGTTGGTCACATGGCGAGGTTTGTGACGCCATAAAAATTTATATTTTTTGTAAATATCTCGAAAACGGTAAACTCAATTGAAACTCTGATTTCACAGAAATGTTTAATATTACAAAACGCCTTGAATAAAACCATAAAAAGTATAGGTCAGAAAAAATTTAACTACCCCATTGTCAACAATACATTTAAAGCCTATGAACTGCACATCATTTTTTATTTTTTTTTTAAAGTAGAGTTGAGAGTCAAAATACGTAGTTAAAAATGCAATTAATTTGGCTTTGGTGGTGCATAGATAAGTAAAATCATATATAAAAGTAGTTAAATATAGGTTGCTTTACGGCCCAGAAGAGAAAGTATTCCTAGCGGATAATAATCTTCGCTTTGACTAGAATTTATATAAAAGAAATTAAAATTGTATGTGAACACACTTGAATGTTGTTCAATCATTGGACTTCAATGGTGAATGGGTATTTTGTTAAAGCCACTGGACGTTAATTCTTGTAGTAGCTTAATAATAATTATAATGTATATATTGTCCAGGACTATTAATGATTAGTAACTTGCAAATTGAAAGAAGAAAAAGTTTCGTGATTATTGCTTATCTTTTTCAAACCAAAAGGATGCTATTTTCAAAGACAGGAAAATTAACTACTAGATGAAGTATTGCCCTTAAAAGTTCTTAGAATCTGATATTATTTTTATCTTTTTATATCGATATTATATAATAATTAACAAGTAAATTATCATATATTATATCACGAAAACTATGAATTTAATCGGTTAAACTAGGCTCAGTAGTTTTTTGTTTGGTTTTTGTTGGAAAATGTTGAATGCAAAATAATTATTTTGCATGAAACTATTTTCCAAAAAGAAAAATCAAATAAAAAACTTACTGAGCAGTTTGACAGATTAAATTTGTAGGTTGAGTGATATACGTCTAGATTATTTCTCGAATTTAAGGAAACTATTTGACAATTCATAAAATCTGACGTATGTGTCAAAATTTATAAATATTTTTTTAAAGAAAATTCCGTTAATTTAAGGTATGTAATAAGTAATAATTGATATTTCGTAAACTAGATAACTTATTTTTTATTGTTTTTTAAAAAATGTTTGTTAAAACCTGTAAATAACACCATAAAATCGTAAACAAAGATCCAATATGGAGGCTAAAATTTAATCGCTGTTAAATAGTTCTAGTGATTTAATCGCTTATTTAAACAAAATTTATTCGAAAATTCAAGGCTTTTGATTGGTTCATATTATAAATAAAAAAACAAAAGTCCAAATAAAAAAAATGAACTGTATTTGGAAACTGACTAAAAGTAAAATTGTTTCTCACCTTTTGACTTCTTTCCAAAGCTCAACATATTTATCCCTGCAAAAGACGCTTTTGACTTGGATTGTCGACCGGAAGTCCTCCATGTCGTCGATAATAACGTCGACTATTTCCGGATACTGGGCCACGAAGTGACTTTTGAGCCTTTCCAAGGTCTCTTCGTCGGTGTCTCTTTCCGGAAAGGCCTCCTTCGTTAGGAGATTGGAAAGGTCGCCGATGTAAGGCAGAGTGCTGGAGTTTGCACTTTCATCCACGATGGCTGGAAAAAAAAACATGGTAGTCCGGTCTGACCATTTTTTCTTGCAAATATATGCGCAAAAATACGGTTTTTAGTTTTTGGCGAATATCTCGGCCCCCGTATATTGCACAATAAAAAGTATAGAAGCGTAATTATTTTTTATAAAATTTCCAACAATTTTTGTCTGAAGTATTTTTTGTTTAAACACTTTTTTGCAAATATGTCGCAAACGGTATATTTTATAATAAATTACAATAGTTTACAAAATCGAAAAAAAAATGTTTTGACGTTTTTGAGTATAGCTTGAAATCTAAGGGCCGGTTTTTCAATTAGGGTTTAAACCTTGGTTCAAGGGAACTTAGATCAGTTAATGAACTCAGTTCACAGTCAAATGAGTTTTTTAATGTCGAATCAACAGCAGTTCTGTTGAACTTAGATCAGCGGTGTCAACGTTAAGTTGGTACAACCGAATTTAGTATGACGCCTACATTAATAGTAGTTAAAACTGTCATTTTGACAAAAGGATTTTGTGTTTACTTTTGGAGTTTTGTTTATCTGTGCTGTTTTAAAAAGTTATAATCTGTGCGAAAGGGCGCTTTAAAACAATTTACTATTGTTAAAGAACAATAATTATTATTTATTATGGATAAAAATCGTGCTGCCAACTTTACCTCTTTTAAGGAGGAATTATTTGTATGTATTTCGTTTTATATTATAAAATGAATTTGTCGTTTTTTGTTACATGTGATGAATTTTACTAAAATCTATTACCTATTCAGTAATTATTTTTTTAACTAACCTATTGGTCGGATTTGCAATAACTGGTCTAATTAAATCCACTATCCTACGTACAAAAGGTTTGGAAAACCGAAATCTGGCAAAAAATTCATCATTAATCGACCTTTCAAAATGATTCGGTCTTACCCGTGGCCTGTGCACACGAATATTATTTAGGAGTTCGCCAATTTCCTCATCATCCTCACTAACTACCTCAAACATATCCATTGGTTTATTATAACAGCAGATTACAAAACAAGATATAAACAACGTAATACACAATAAAGCAGGGAAAAATTAAGTTATGTCAAGTTGAACTTTGTTTAAACGGCCAACAGTGACATCTTTTGATTTAGTTTAAACCAAATTCAAGCTTGAACTTTGATTGAAAAACGGCATATTTTGTTGACATCTTGATTTCTGACACTGGTGTAGCTTTATGACGTCATGCAATATGGCGGGAGTTCGGAACGTTTGAAAAGTACCTTTTTTCAATTTGATATTTTTGGGGCCGGGTTGGACTTTTGGAATATAAAAAAATATTTTCGCAATGTGTTTTTACCTCTAGATTACATTAAAAAGGTTTTTAGGGATTTTAATTTTTGATGCAATAGACCTATCTCATAAAACGGACTTTTGGATAGCGCGTGCGTGAAAAGCACGTCGTCTTTTTTTAATTATATAAAAGAGAAAGAGATACCACTCTTCTTCAGGCACGCGCTATCCAAAAGTCTGTTTTATGGGATAGGTCTATTACTCTATTATTTAAAAATATTTTTTTACCAAAATCTATTGCTTTCAGATGTTTTTAAAAAATTATCGTCATAATAAAAGTTTAATTTTTACCTTTCTTTATCTCCTCCAACGTGGGCACACATTTCCCGTCTTCGACGAACACTTCCTCCTCTTCAAACCGATCTTCTCGCACCGTCTCCCCTTTATCAGCGAACGCATCGGGACTGGGGGTTTTTCGCTCCACATCGACCCCCAAATCCCTGCCCCCTTCCCCATCCTCCTCCCGCGAAACTTCGACCCTCTCCAAGAACTCCGGACTGGGACTTCGGCGCTCCACGTCCGCCTTCAAACACTTTGACAACCACGATTTTAAGTTGTCTATGGTTTCCGGCGAGTCCCCCCCTTCCTCCAACGCCTCCAAATCCAAGGTCGGCTCGGGTTTATCGTTGGAGGGTGCCGAGGAACGCGCAGTGTTTTTTCTTGGAGCCTCTTGCGGCTCAAAATCCACCTCTGAGGGGTTGGGTTTACTTCTGACTTGCTTTTGATTTTCTATCATCCTTCTGATTTTGATTTGGTGCCGTATGGCCAGTTCTTCGACAAGTTCGCTGTGGTCTTCAATTGCGGGGTCCAAAATCAGCGAGTACTCGGGCACGCTAAATTGTAGAGCGATTTTCTCGCAGAACGTGTAGATTTCGTTGTAGCACAGCATTTGCCCGTATTTTTTACCTTCGAGAGTGGTTAAAGCAAAGTCCAACTTATCTTTTTTGTTGTCAGCGTTGAGGAAGGATTTATACGCCTCCAGGGCAGTTTGTACACTATAGGTGCATGCTTGAGTGAAGATATAGTACGAGGACAGTTGTACGGGGTTGCTCCACGTTTTTTTCTTCTTGTTGTGCTTTTGCCGTCCAGTGGGTTTCATGGTTACAAACTGCTGCTCTTTAAGCTCTTCTACAGCGTTGTGTAGAACATTATCGGGGTAGTTCTGGTAGGTTTTGAAGAGTTGGTACTGCCAGGCGGCGTGATCGCCCTGACAGCCCAAATTGCTGTGGATAATACTCTTCACCAACTCTTTTTGCACCTCTTCTTCCGAGGTAGCTTCTCTATAACCAACGTGTTGTTCGTTCTCCTCATCGCAGTACTCGAAATCGTTCGCGTTATCCAGCAAGTTGCTTTCAGTAGCGTATTGGAAGTTGGTGCTGGCGCCGAGGAGTAAGTTTTTTACTTCGTCTGTGTGCTTGGTGAGGTAGAACATGGCGAAGAGGTAGGCGCACGCGATCTGCTTCTCGCTCGAGTTTTGCAGACCGTTTTTCGTTAAGTCGTACACGAGGTACTTGAAGTACTTTTCGATCGGTTTGATTTTCATAAGGTGCATGAAGTTGAGGTCGAGAGAGCGGTACGTCGCGTCGTCTCTGAACGAAAAGTGTATATTTATATTTTAGTTTTAGTTTTTCCAAGGCACAATTTTGTTTGTTAAACCTGTGGGTAAAAGGCATTAGGGGATAAGTCAAAAAAAGCAATTTTTCAGTAGAGCCATGTCATATGCTAACAAAAGCGTATACCCGCTAAACATAAATATATTTCCTGAATTAATGCGAACACGTTAAAGGCTCTATTGAAAAATTGCTTTTTTGACTTATCCCCTTATGCCTTTTACCCAGAGAAACGATATGACAGAAGTCGAATTTTTTTATTGGTCAAAAGGAATAAATAATGAATTTTTTAGATAGAACCGTTATTATAGGGTGGCAAATTTTTAAAAATTCACAAATTTACAAAGAATTTAAAATTTTTAGAATTTCGAAAACTCCAAAATTTGCCTCCCTAAAACAACAGGGTTCTGACAAATTGTACAGGTTAAAATTTATAAGGAAGTTTTGGATTGGGATTTAAAACCCTTATACCACAAAATGTACAATTTGTCAGATAGAACCCTGTTGTTTTAGAATCCCTAAAACAACAGTGTTCCATTTGGCCAATTTTACATCTTAAAATTTATAAACAAAGTTTCGATATGTCAGATTGAACCCTGTTATTCTAGAGTGGCAAATTTTGGAACTTTTGGAATTTTTAAAAATTTGCCACCCAAGAATAACAGGGTTCTATCTGACATATTGTACATTTTGTGGTATAAGGGTGTAAAACCCAAATCCAAACTTTCCTTATAAATTTTAGGATGTACATTTTGTCAGATAGAACCCTGTTGTTCTAGGGAGGCAAAATTTTGACCCTTTGGAATTTTTGTTAATTTTGGAATTTATAAAAGTTTTGGAAATTTTTAAATTTAACTCCAAATCCAAAACTTCCTTTTAAATTTTAACATGTGCAATATGTGGCAAAACCCTTTCGTTCAAGGGTAGCAAAATTTGAAAATTTTTGTTAATTTTTGAATTTCTAAAATTTTTGGAAATTTTAAAAATTCACCACAACACTTAAGTGGCACATACTAAAAATTTACAAAAAAAATCAAAAATTATACAAAAATTTTAAAATTCGCGAATTGTTAAAATTTCCAAAACTTTTAAAAATTCCAAAATTTAAGAAAATTTTAAAATTTTCTATCTGACAAATTGTACATCTTAAAATTTATAAGAAAAGTTTGGATTTGAATTTAATAATAATAACAATAATTATTTTATTCCAAGAAATTTTAAACCTTTATACCACAAAATGTACAATTTTTTAGATAGAACCCTGTAGTTATAGGTTATAAAATTTTGAAAATTTTTGTAAATTTTAGAATTTTTGAAAATTTGCCACCAATTCCATAGTGGCAAATATTCAAAATATACAAAAAATTTCAAAATTCGCTCAAAAATCACAAAATTTACAAACATTTTCAAAATTCGCTAACTGAAAAATTGTAAATCTTAAAATTTATAAGAAAAGTTTGGATTTGGATTTTAAACCTCAAAATTTACAATTTGCCATATAGAACCCTGTTGTTCTAAGCTAAATTTTTTAAATAAAACAATTTCAAAATTGTTAGAATTTCCAAAATCCGACAAATTGTACCTACATCTTAAAATTTATAATTAAAAATTTCCAAAGATTATGGAATTTTCAAAATTTCTTAAATTTCAAAATTTACAAAAATTTTAAAATTTATCCCAGAACAGGGTTTCATCTGACAAATTGTACATCTTAAAATTTATAAGAAAAAATTGAATTTGGACTTAATAATAATAATGGTTATTTCATATTTAAAAATTTCCAAAAAATTATTGCACTTTCAAAATGCCTTAAATTTTCAAAATTCCAAAAATTTTAAAAATTTCAAAATTCGTTACCCTAGAACAATAGGGTTCTATCTGACAAATTGTACATCCTAAAATTTATAAGAAAAGTTTGGATTTGGATTTAATAATAATAATAATAATTATTTTATTTCAAGAAATTTCAAACCTTTACACTACAAAATGTACAATTTTTCAGATACAACTCTGTTGTTCTAGGTCAGCGAATTTTGAAAATTCTGTTTGAAAATTCGCCACCAGTTCTAGAGTGGCAAGTATTTAAAATATACAAAAAAATCAAAAATTCCAAAATATACAAAATATAAAAAAAATTTCAAAATTCGCTCAAAATTTACAAAAACTTTTTTCAATTTTTAAAATTCTGACAAATTGTACATCTTGAAATTTATAAGAAAAGTTTGGATTTGGATTTCAAAACTTTATACCACAAATATTTCCAAAATAACTAAATTTTTTAAGGTTCCAAAATTAAAAAAAAAATCCAAATTTGCTACCCTAAAACAAAAGGGTTTTTTTCTGACTATTTCCCTCGTCTTAATTTCCACCAATCACAAACGCGCAATTTTGAATTACAAATGGTTTCTAGGTGAAAAAACTGTGTGACAGCACCTGTCAGCAGTTTATTCGAGTTTACCCGCGGCAAAACTTGACAGCTGTTGTCACCAAAAATTGCAATTTATATTTTAATTGTTAACTGTTACTCATGAAATAGTCTTGTCAAATATCATTCGGGCATCTAATTTTTCCTGTGAAAAAAATCGAAAAAACACAATGCTAAGTAATATTTTTTAACAAAAAGCATTCGTGCAGGTGCAAAAATCCTCCTCTTCGACTCGGATTTTTGTTGCCACCAGCACTTATGCTTCTTGTTAAAATATTACTTAGCAACGTGTTTTTTCGATTTTTTTCGGAAAAATTAGATGCCCTTATGATATTACTTACGAAAAATTGCACATCTTAAAATTTATAAGAAAAATTTGTATTTGGATTTTAAACCACAAAATGTAAAATTTGGCAAATTTTTTAAATTTCCAAAGATTTCAAAATTTTTAGAATTTCCAAAATCCGACAAATTGTACCTACATCTTAAAATTTGTAATAAAAAATGGATTTGGATTTAATAATAATAATGGTTATTTCATAATTAAAAAGTTTGGATTTGGATTTCAAACCTTTATAACACAAAACGTACAATTTGTAAATTTTGAAATTTTGGAAGCTCAAGAGCTAAAAAACCCCTAAAAATAGAAAATCTCACCTATGCAAAATGCGCATCTTCCTCTTGACAGCCTCGGACGACTTGCTCCTGCTCTTCGGTATGCACAAATGCATCACGTCCCTCTGCACCGTGAACGGAATGTAATTCTTCGACGGATACTTCGGGCACAGCAGCAGCAAGACCGCCTTGTTCACGTACAGGTGGCTCACCTCGCGCGCGTCCCACGACACGCGCACCTTGCCCAGCCGCTTCAGCAGCTTCTTGTCCAGGCTGTCCGTCAGCGGCTTCTTCTTCTTCGCGCGCAGCGGCTGCATCTTGCGCACCATCTTCGGCTTCTTCTTCGTCGTGCGGAAGCACAGGTGGTTGTGCGCGCGCGCCTGCGGCTGCAGCTTCGGCCGCGCCGATATCTTGAACGACTGCTTCAGCTGCGCGAACGGCACCGGGTACGTCAGGGTCTGCGCAGAAAAATGTCGCGGTGAAAGTAGAACTATGGTTTATCGGCGGAAAAATAGTTTAAAAACTTTTTATTATGGGTATTTTTATGACGATATTTTGTTAAAAACATCTTAAAGCAATAGATTTTGGTACAGAAATATTTTTAGATAATTATGTTTTGATTTCATGACACCTCAAAGTAGAATGTTTTTAAAACGGTAAAATTGGCTAAAAATTACGCACACATTTAATAAACTAAAAAATGTATATATTTTTTTAAAAATAGGTTTAAACTACACCTTAATCTACTTATATAAAGATTCCTATTTGAATAAAAAAATAAAAATCAAAAGTTATAACGTTTTAAAGACACATTGGTAAAATTAAGAGAAAACCAAATTCATATAGGCATTTAACTATGATTGCCTCCGATTTACACGTTGATATCTACATGAGGTTGTTCAGTAAACTTTACTTTATAAGTAAACAAAAAATTGGCTGCATATTCGCACATATGAAAAAGTTATGAATTAAGACATTGTCGCAACGCAAGATTTTCGTACCCACAGATCTATGCTCATAAGTTTTAGTTGAATTTATTAATTAATATAAATATTTCAACATGTATTAAATTTTGGTTTAATATTATTAAAAAATATATACAAAGTATACTTATCCCATGGGATTAATAATTAATTACATATTCATAACAAATTACAATGGCCGTCAAAATTAACGCATAATAAGCAAAAAAACTCTAAAACGCCTTTTCCAATCTTAAAAAAAAATGTTTAATAAAAATACTTTAACTTATATCTCAGTTTACGTGTTCAAGGGTTTTTCGAGAAAATATCATTAAAGCCCTTTTATTTAATAATAAAAAACGCTCAAAAAAAAAAACTTTTATAGGGAATTTTTTTTAAGTAAATAATAAATTTGCTGTGAAATACCGTATTTCTGTAAGTATACCCTGAAAATGTTGTACAAATCAAAGGAACAGTAACGAAAATACAGCGCTTTAAAGTCGTCAAAAATGACCACATTTCAGCAAAATAATCAAAAAGGGGTAATTTTTAAGCCTTGTTCGTTTGATTTGTACAAAATTTTCAGGGTATACTAACAAAAATACGGCCTTTAACAGCATATTTTTTATTTATTTAAAAAAATCCCTAAAAGTTTTTTTGAGCGTTTTTTATTATTAAATAAAAGGGCTTTAAAAATATTTTCTCGAAAAACCCTCGAACACGTAAACTGGGATATAAGTTGAAGTATTTTTATACAAAATTTCATAAAGATTAGGCGTTTTAGTTTTAATTAATAGATAGTTTTAGTTTTAATTAATAGATAATCCTTTGCTGTAGTAAAAATATATTATAAATTAATTAATAGTCCCTTGTTTTGCATCTTTAAGGGTAAAACATATTAGGTAAACCATTACTTTATGGGGAAGCTCAATAATCTAGGATTTTACAAAATTTCGATATGTTTTCGAGAAAAACAAATCGAAAATCAACAAACGATATATGTATACAGGGTGTCCCGAAATTAGGGGGCCAAACTTAACCAATGCATTCGTCATAGAAAAATAGCACTTTTTTGTTAAATAAACATGTATCAAAAAATGCCCCCTAACGGAGCTACGGCCCCCTGAATAGTAGCCTAAGAGAATAGTTTTTTTAAAACTATTCCTAGAGCGTTAAACATGAAGAAATGAAATTTTGGCACTTTGGTAATTTTTAGATGCTGGATCAAGATCTAAGATCAAAACTGTTAAAATTTAATCATAGGCGTAACATTTGGGGGGGAAAAGTTATAAAAATAGCCCCAACTTTTTTCCGAGATAATATTTTAATCTTTTTTCATGAAATTATGAAAACTTATAGTTTTTTACGAAAAATAGGTAGTCTTGATTTGAATCGCTCAGATGCACCATTTTCGAGAAAAATGCATTTATAAATTACTCTGCATAGCATACACATCTCATATTTTCGTTAAAATTTTGTGTTAAAATTTGGAAAATCGCTCCATAATAAAAAATAACAAAAATCGAGACAAAAAATATTAATTCAACTATAAAAATAAATTTAAATTCAGCAAATAACCCAAACGTTACTTTTGTCCCAAAGCTTTTTAATGAAAATATTAGAAATTATGCTAAGCATAGTAATTTAAATTGCAATTTTCTCAAAAATGGTGCATCTGAGCGATTCAAAGAAAGAGTACCTATTTTTCGTGAAAAACTATACATTTACATAATTTTATAACAAAACATTAAAATACTCACTCTGCAAAAAGTTGGGGCCGTTTTTGTAAATCTGCTCCCTCAAATGTTACGCCTATGATTAAATTTTAACAGTTTTGATTATAGATCCAGATTCAGAATGTCAAAATTTCCAAAGTCCCAAAAATTCAGGTCTTCATGTTCAACCCTCTAGGAATAGTTTAAAAAAAACTATTCTCTTAGGCTCCTATTCAGCGGGCCGTAGCTCCGTTAGGGGGCATTTTTTGATACATGTTTATTAAACAAAAAAATGTTTTTCTATAAAGAATGCACTGTTTAAGTTTGGCCCCCTAATTTCGGGACACCCTATATTTCATCGTCTTTTAATATCGTCTTACCAGGGTGTTAACGTTACTTAGGAGAAATACAAAATTTGTAAAATATATGCTTGATTAAGAAGTTAAGGAATTATTAATGGAATAAATGTTAAAATTCAAATCGTTTATTTATTTCTTAAAGTGTGCCTAGTTAAGATAGTTAAAGAAATATGCATTTATTTACAATAATAGTTATATATGTATCAAGGCAGTAAAGTCGTATTTTTTATCACGAATGTGGAAATTATTTGCAGAGGCGAAAGCCGAGGCAATAACCACGTGAGTGATAAAAAAATAAAAAATATTAAATTTTATCCGAAATCACATTTAATAATACCTACGAATAATTAATATTGTTAAAGCGGCAGTAAATTCCTCTTTACTGCCGATTTCTTTTACTTTACTGCCGATTGTTGACTACTTTACTGCCGATTTCGGATAAAAGTTATTGAATTATTTTCGCAATCGTTTCACCGCGAACATAAGAAAAAGGCTTTAAAAAAGACCTTTAATTTATTTTATTAAAATATTGTTAATTATACCTATTAAATCTAATTTAACACAGTAAAAAATAAAAAAATAAATATTTCTTTGCAATAAAAAAGTTTTTTGATTATTTCCTCAATTAATACTCTAGGACCATCTAAAACGCATTTAAAAAATAAAAACCGTTATGTTTATCAATTAAAATATAGTTAATTTTACGTAATAAGCCTTATTTAACAAAGTAAAAAATAAAAAAAATTATATTTTTTTGCAATAAAAAAATATTGGGTTATTTCCGCAATTGAAGCTCTTTGAACATCTAAAAACGCATTTAAAAATTAAAAACCTTTATGTTTTTTGATTGAAATATAGTTAATTATACGTAATATTCCTTATATAATATAGTAAAAAAATTGATATTTATTTTGAATAAAACATTTCTGCAAAACAGTGCTTGATGATAATCTAAAAACGGATTTAAAAAATGAAAAAAAAAAATGTTTGATTAAATTATAGTTAATTATAACTCCTATTTAACACATTAAAAAAAAGAAAAAATGAATATTTATTTGTAATAAAAAAGATATTAATTTTTTTCCGCAAAACTGCTTTTCGACCATAGTGCGGCGTGCCATATAGAACCTGAAATGAAAAATGTATTACCTTATCGAACTTTTCCCTCTTCAAAAGCGTCAGTTCGGTGCTGCAATCGTTTTTCTTGTTGACTGTGAACCACTGCCAGTTTCTGGCGATGTGGGACCAAAGTATCGAGTCCAAACCACCCGCACCCCTACGATCGCCCGGTATTTCCCCGGTGTCCAACTTTCTCGCGTTCTCGTTGGTCTGCGGTCTCAGGCACCGATTAAGTTCTTCTTTGATGCTGAGCAATAAATAGATAAAAGTAACAACAAAATTTTAATTTTTTTTTAATTGATAAAAAAAATTGAGGATGATCTTTTAGGTATCAAATATGAAAATCCGTTGCCGTTTTAATTTTTGTATTCTTTACTTTTAATCGGCACCCTTTAGAAATCTGAAATCGTGTCAATTTCTTACTCTCTTATAGTGGGCCAGAACTTTTTTTCTGTGATAAATATTGAAATGATTTTAATTTTGTTTTACTGTTCAGTAAGTGTGTTTTCGATATAAATTATTATTATCCAATTAGTTAATATCATAAAAGAATGGTAAACCACTAAAGATTCATGATAATTTGCCAATTTTTGTGATTTTTGTCTGACTCCTGTGCCTATTCTACTAAATCTAGAAAGTTATTTTTTTCAGGTATAAAGTACTTATACAATAGAAAACGTAACTATTATTTTAAGTTTCTAGACTATCAATTTCTTTATTAAAAAAATTATTGAAACTTGATAATTCTTTAAATTAGTCAATTTTGCCCTCAGAAATCATTATGTTGAGGAAAAAATAAAAATCTGAAACTTTCAGGAAATGTAGTCCCCGCCTTCATCTTTTCAGTCCACTTAGTCTTGTTTTGTTATTTTTATTCCTTTAAAAGATATATTAATTTTTTTAATGCCCGTTTAGAAGCGATATTGTTAGTTTTATTTATAATTTAAAATTTAGATGGCTTTCATGTTTGGTGGAGAAGTGTCAGAACTGTCAAAAATATTTCATAAATATTATTTGTGCGTATTTCTTTGGTAAATTTTGTATATAACATAATATGTCATATTATGTTATATACAAAACTTTTTAAAATCACCAAGGAATACCACAAATAATAATTATGAAATATTTTTGACAGTTCTGCTATATTTGGTAGTTATGTTATATTTTATGTATTGTATAATCATATATATAAATATATATAATATACAATATACAATATATAATTTACACAATCTGTAAATACTTCTTTAAATTTTAGTTTTTAGGTAAATGGTTAAAATAAAACATGTTATAATAAAGGGGTTTATTTAGAATATTTTTTGGTTTTTGCTTATTTTTAACAATTTAAAACTTCTCAGAACTTGAATATTTTCTATGAGAAAGAGGTACAAAATTATGATATGTTCTTGCATTTTTAATTGCAATTAAATTCATAAATCTCGAACACTCCGTCATTTATTACACTTGCAAACTTTTTGAAATCACAATTTAAATACGCACAAATAATATTTATGAAATATTTTTGACAGTTCTGACATTTCTCTACCAAACATGAATTGACTAAGTCAAAGCCATCTAAATTTTAAATTATAAATAAAACTAACAATATCGCTTCTTAACTGCATTAAAAAAATTATTATATCTTTTACATGGATAAAAATAACAAAACAAGACTAACTAGTCTAAAAAGATGAAGGTGGAGACTACATTTCCTGAAATTTTCAGATTTTTATTTTTTCCTCAACATAATGATTTCTGAGGGCAAAATTGGCTAATTTTGAAAATTATCAACTTTCAATAATTTTTTTAATAAAGAAAATGATAGTCTAGAAACCTAAAATAATAGTTACGTTTTCTATTGTATAAGTACTTAATACCTGAAAAAAGCAACTTTCTAGATTTAGCAGAATAGGCACAGGAGCCAGACAAAAATCACAAAAATTGGAAAATTATCATGAATCTTTAGTGGTTTACCATTCTTTTATGAGATGAATTAATTAGATAATAATAATTAATATTGAAAACATAGTTACTAGGCAGTAAAATAAAATTATAATCATTTCAATAATTGCCACAGAAAAAAAGTTTTAGCCCCTTATAAGAGAGTAAGAAAATGACACAATTTCAGGTTTCTAAAGGGTGCCGATTAAAAATAAAGCAACTAAAAATTAAAACGGCAACGGTTTTTCATATATGATACCTAAAATTTTTTCATTAAAATAAAAAATCATGCAGCGCACTTTTAAATTTATTTTTGGTGTTTTCATTTGGATTGACTCAATTGTAACTCCCATAATAGTTAGGATTTTAAAATGCTTCTTTAGCATATACACTAACCTGACATCCATGTAGGTGATATTTTTGCCCGCCATCACGGTTCTGGCGCCCAGTTTCGTGTTCATGCAGATGTTCCAAAGTTGGTACCAATAGGTGTCAATGTCCTCTTGGGTGGCAAAAGTAAACGCCCTCTTCGTGTACTCTTTTTCGGTTACTTTGTGGTAACCAGGTTCACTCGACGTGGTGTCGTATATGCTCGCTTTGGTGTTTAGAAACACGAAAACCTGATCTTTTTCTTTTTGCTTCTGAGGCCCGAACTGCAGTAGGCCTGTCAGCGCCAACTGGCAGAGTATGTCGTGTATGCTTTTGAGGTATTTTCGCTTGTAGAAGAGCACGCGTTTCGCCTTTTCCGACAACGTCGATATTAAAAAGTGCCTTTTTACCGGATGCTGCAAAAGCTCGCTTAGCTCGGAATCGTTGAAGGTGACGTTATACAATTTAACCAAAATGCTGAGAGGTAAACGAAGAATGACGTCCGCCACCAGAGCCCAACCTGGAGAAAAAATGTTTGGACTACATTCCCCGTTAAAAATATTTGTAGTGTTTTATTTATTTAAAGTGCAAATCTAACAGGCTCCCTTGTGGAAATTTTTCTCTGAGAAAGTCTTACTTTCTCTTAAAAAGTCTGAATAATACTTATTAAGTCGGAAAAAGTCTGAATAAGACTTATTAAGTCGGAAAAAGTCTGAATAAGTCTTATTAAGTCAGACCAATAGCAAGATTTGGGAGTCTTTTGGAAGAGTTAATAAGACTTTTTAAGACTTAATACGACTTTTAGTAGAGAAATGGTAGGTACCTATGGCGATAAAAATAAATATCCGAAATAATTCATAGAGGTTGTATTTGGTTATCGTAAAATAAAACACATAGAAAAGTATTTATTAACATTTTTGCTGTTGTTATAAGCCAAGTTTATTGCATAATTACCTATATAATAACATAGTTAAAAGGTAATAATTATAACAATTATAATTTTATACATACGATGCGCTTGACATGCTTTCATTGTTTCCACCATAGAAAAAGGAGTTGCCACTGTACGTTTTATTTTAATAGTTTCTTTTGATACACGCAAATATTTACCTATCTAAACATTGCAACGTTTAGACAATGCATTGTTACAAACAAATCTTCTAGACGTAATATCGAGAGACCAGCTCAGCTAGCTGACCAATTAGAGCACAGCTGACCTGTCAGTGGGACACAGTGTTGCCGTTTGCAAGTATTTTACTCGAAAATCGGGTATTTTCGTAATATTTGCGGGTGATTTGCAAATTTCTATCAAAATAATAACAAAAAAAATTTTCAGTAAATTATATTGTATATTTACTAAATATGCACAATTATTTTATTCTATCCTGTTACATTTTTATTATTATTTTAGTATTTTGTAATTTATGGTCAGGAACTTTTATGGCAACACTGTACGCAAACACGAAGATCAACCATGATACAAAGATGAATGAAACACGAAGATCAACCATATTTGTCTTATGAGTCTATCGAAAATATCATGTCTATAGACATTTGACAACGAGTTGGTTGAATATGTGAGGCAAAACCCATTTTCTAACTCCATTCAAGCCAAAGAGGAAACCAACTTCCCAGCATCTGTTAGGACGGCAAGAAAACGGTTGCGAGAACAAGGTTTATTTAACTGCGTGAGTGCTAAAAAGCCTCGCTTGACGGATGTTAATAAAGAGGCAAGAGTGGAGTTTGCAAATAATTTTTTGAATCAAAACGCTGAATATTGGGAGCGAGTAGTCTTTTCAGATGAAAAAATATTTCAATCCTGCTACAATGGGCAACTGCGAGTTTATCGTCCCAGAAACCATAAGTTTGATGAAGAATACTTATGTTCTGTGAAGAATACCTCCACAAAACTGACAACAGCGGAAGATTTTCTGTCCACGTGTGGGCGTGGATATCATCTTCAGGAGCTGGTATAATTCATATTGTAGAAGGCCGATTAACTGAGAACCGATACGTGGAAATTTTAAACGATGTAATGCTCCCGTCAGTGCAAGAAAGATAATGATTGTTTCAACACGTAACACTTTATGATTTATCTTTCCTGATCAAAAAAATATTTTTTTTTTTTCATTTTGAGGATAACTCGCCAGTTCACACTGCTCATGTGGTTCATAATTGGCTAGAAGAAAATCACATTACTTCCTTGGCCGTCAAGAAGCCCCGATTTATACCCAATCGAAAATATTTGGAGATATCTCATAAAAATAATATATAAATATGAATTTAGACCAAGAAATAGAAAAGACCTTATTAATGCAATTCAAAATGAGTGGAACAATTTGGAAGAAAATTACGATATGCAAAATTAAATTAGTTCCATGCCTAGGAGATTACAAAATGTTATAGTAATAATTTTTTTTTTAAATGGAGTTTTTATAGCATTACAAATGTGTAAGATTATGTAAGATAATGTCCGAGGGAGGGCTAAATGAAAAAATTGCCAGGGCCGGTTTTTCTGAGCCCATCCGACTCTGGTTGGCTCATCTTTTATAATTGTTATAGTCGTAGTATACTATTTCTTTATAAATTTATTTATTTTGGTCGCCCAATAAATAATTTGTTCTTTTTGTTTGTATTACGAATAAACATGCTTTTTTTATTAAATAATTAAATATGTCATACACCTATGATTTCTTGTCAAAATAATTTAATTGACATGACTGACGTAAAAAACCCTACTTACAATAGCCAATTTTTAAGAAAAACATGCAACTTGATAAAGAATCGATTACTTTTTATCGGCCGCAATAGTACCTACCATTTCTCTACTAAAAGTCTTATTAAGTCTTAAAAAGTCTTATTAACTCTTCCAGAAGACTCCCAAATCTTGCTATTAGTCTGACTTAATAACACTTATTCAGACTTTTTCCGACTTAATAAGTCTTATTCTGACTTTTTCCGACTTAATAAGTATTATTCAGACTTTTTAAGAGAAAGTAAGACTTTCTCAGAGAAAAATTTCCACAAGGGTTGTAATTACCCCAGTCGCACCAAATATTGGTTAAATATTAAAAAAATATATTTATGTAATATACAAAACGACAGATTTTTAAGATTTAATGTATATTTGAAGTGTATATGTATACATATATATTTAATATATAAAAATAATATCATAGGCATATTTCTTTTAAATGTTACATAAATATTTAAAAATAATATATTATATATAAGAAAGAGATCTGTATGCAATAAATCTAAGTAATATTAAATAAATGTGAATAAAAAATAGTACATAAATATTTTAAAATTATATGTATTAATTATTCAAAAGCAATATAAATTTAAGTAATATTTAAAATATTATATTTTAAAGTAATATTTGGTAAATATTACGAAATAATATTACATGAATAATTAAAGAGAATATGTCCTTATTAAATGCAGAACTAGCTTATGTCCATTTTTGTCGAATTTTAAAATTATCAAACAGGGTTGTCAAAATTATCAAATTTTTAAAAAATTATGTTTAACAATAATACAAAATTAAGCCGTATTAAATTTATAAACAACCTTAATCTGCAAATCTAGTAAATCTGCAAATCACATTTAATACTTCGTCACCTGAGTATTGATTTGTGCTATCTCCATTTTTTACCATTTTGTGGTTTATGCATTTTCGGAAAGTTGAAGTTGGTTTGTTCCATCTCCATAATAGTATTTTGATATAATTGTGTCAGTTTTTAGTTTAGGTTAGTCTAAATCCGAGTTTAGTATAAGGTTTAAAATTGGTTTACTCTATCTCCAAATTTTCGCTTACAGGCTTTCTTTTGCTCTATGTGTTTGTAAATTAGTAATTAGTATTTGTTTGTGCTATATCCATTTTATAACTGTTTTGTGCTATCTCCAAGGAAAGCTTCCTTATAAGTATAAAATTGTTTTGTTCTATATCCACTTTAGCCAGTACACGTCACCCATTTACGTGTACCTATATGAGTCATATATGACATTGTATTTTGACAATAATTATAATTATATAATTATAATATTATTATTAAAGTAAATCATTATTAAATAAAGTGTTTTTTAATTCAGTTTTGTTTCATGTCCTAAAACTTTGTTATATGTTCAACATTTTGTTTCTAAAATCCACTTTTTGTTTTATCTCCAAAACGTTTTTTCCAATATTGAGGCATAAATCCAAATTTGAGATAAGAGTTGCTCAATAGAAGTAATTAAAGGCCAAACAAGAATATTGTTTTTAATGTTTAATTAACTTCTCATTAAAAAACAAATAAGATATTTAATGTAAAAGTTTCAAACCCGTTTATCTCGATTATAACATATTGGACATAGAACAAATCAATACTCAGGTGACGACTTAGGTATATAAAATATTAATTTTTTTTTAATATTTTATTAATTTAGTAATTATAATTTTAATACAGGTCTTTATGTTTTTTAAGATATTTTTTTAATATCTATTCCAGATAATATTTAAAATAATTAATTTTGAATATTATATAAATATTTTAAAATAGCTATTAAAATATATATTTTCATAATATTTAATGGATATAATAAAAATATTCTAAAACGTATATTTTTTATTAATATCTATTAAATATTCACTGAACATAAAAAAATAAATATATTTTAAATAAATTTATTAAATATTTACTACGTATTTAAAAACAAATATTTTCAAAATAATATTAGCTAAAAATTTACTGTATATTAAAAAACATATATTATAAAAATATATTTATTATATATTAAATAAATATTTAAATATTTAAAAAACATTGAATATTCATTAAATATTAAATATATATTTAATGAATATTTGGTGCTACTGGGGTATCTATCAACTGTTTTGAGTTTAAAAAAAATTAACTTTGTAAATTTCTGTTAAAACATCAACATCAAGTATTGTCATTTTTAGGCAGGGTTAAGCGGAATCGTTTTTTTTTTGTCAAAATTGTTTTGGTATATAAAAAAAATCAACTCACCAGTAGGCCAGCCCTTGTGAGTAGGCAACCCCCTGATGAAACTCTTCCAGCTGATCTCCTTGACGTACATCGGCGGCAGCGACTCCAAATCCGCCGTCGTCATCTCGATCTTGTTCGACCTGAACAACTCCTCCACCTCCTCGTCGGTTAGTCTCCTGCGGCCCTCGAAGAAGCGCACCAGATAGTGCAGGAACTCGTGCAGGATCTGCATGCGCACGTACTTGGGCTTGAAGCCGTACTGCCGGCCGATGAGGCGGTCGGGCTTGTGCTGCTCCGCGTTGAGGAAGTCCCGCTCGCCGGCGCTGTTCAGCTGCGAGATGCTCTCGCGCACGTCCTCGGCCCCGAAGGGGGACGCGTCGGTTCGCTTCTTGGCCGGCGGCGGCGCTGCCGGGGACAAAGCGGCCAAGGAGGCGGTGCGCTTCTTCGACACGCCCATGAAGAACCTGAACGAATCGACGGTAAGACTTTGACTTTCGAGACGTTCGAAGAAAAAATACCGGACCGATTATAGCAAGAGTTGGTTATGGTTATGTTACTCCAAAGATAATACACCCCATAGATTGGAAACTCTCCCATCACTGCCCTCTATATCTATTTGTAAATTGCAGACATCTGTACAAACGCTATTTGTAAATGTCAATGTCAATCATAATTATTGATGTCGAGCATAATTTTGAAATTATTAAATACATTTTTGCGCCTTAAAAGTGATAAAACGTGTTAATGGTTAATGTATTGCTGTTGGGCGCGGAAATGTAACCAATTTGTAGGTATTGACTATCCTGCCGTCCTAAGCCAAAAAGACTCACAGGGTTCCCACCAAGAAAATGAAACAAAATTCCCTGACTTTTCCAGGTTTTCCAGACCAATTTTCATCAATTTCCAGCAATAATTATAGGTACTATGCTCCACACCTCAAAGTCCCACCACGTGACCAAGTACGGAACGCAGTCTTTTGAAAATTTGGCATTCAAGGCTTTTCAGGTTATGTATCTGTCAAAGTATAGTCAATGAAAGAAATCATATTTATAGTGATACCGCTTATGTTTAAGCGTTAAAAGTTAATAAATCTTTATAGTATCACAATAACATGGTTGGTTTAAGAATTTACGAATATAAATACTGCATTTAATGAAATTCCAAAGTGTAAGGTGCAATATAAGTGATATTTTTGTGCATTGGGTCTACATTTCTCCATAAAATGGTTTTAACTAAACAGAATTTATTAAAAAAAAAATCTAACTTCTCTATTATGAAATAAGAATATCTGTATTTGATATATCAAAGGTAGGTTAATGTATTAGAACAAAAAATTTCATCTAATTTTGTATTTTAAGGTTAGAAAAATCTATTTTGACCAAAATAAATAAGTGGATTATTTGGAAGAGTGTGTTAATTTGGTCATAAATAAATATAGGTATACTAAATAATTGTTGAATATGGTTCAAATTAAAATGAAGCTCTTATACTTCTAATGACAAAACTTGTGCATACCTCTCGGCATACCTACTTTAAGTTATATAGATTATAAGAAAACAAATAATTTTTAGAGAAACTTGCAATGTAAAAATATGTAATACTCCCATGACATGTGATTTATTAAAATTTTTAAAGTTATAATGATTTTTGATGTAGATCAAATTCAGTCGAAGCTTTTTAACTATTTGTATTGACAAAACTTTATGTAGGCACACTTTAAGCTGGATAAGAAAAACTACCACATTTTTAAATACCATATTATACAGTCTTTTAAATAATCCAAAATACTTATTTATTTTGGTCAAAATAAATTTGTCTAACCTTAAAATTACAAAATTAGATGATATTTTTGTTATAATATATTTACCTACCTTTAATACAGATATTCTTATTCCATAATAGAGAAGCAAGATTTTTTTAAATAAATGCTGTTTAGTTAAAATTATTTCATGGAGAAAACCAGATATTTGGACCAAATGCACAAAAATATTAATTATTTGGCACCATACACTTTAGAATTTTATTAAATGCAGTATTTATATTCTTAAACCATCCATTGTTATTGTAATGTTATAAAGATTTATACATTTTTAACGCCTAAACATAATATTATTTCTTTCGTTGACTATAGTTTGACAGATACATAACCTGAAAAGCCTTAAATGCCAAATTTTCAAAAGACTGCGTTCCGTACGTGGTCACGTGGTGGGAATTTGAGGTGTGGAGCATAGTACATGTAAAGTAAAAATATATTTTATTTTTCTTTTTACAATTTTTTTTAACATTTCTTAAAATATAATAAAAAAATTAAACAGAACATTCATAAAAAATTTGAAAGGAAACAAACTTAGTTTATAAGGTCATACATTTTATAAGTATTTGCGCAAATGATTTATTTTAGTTTCAATGCCCGGCTATATTATTTGTAAAAAATAATCTTCGGCCGGTAATAAAAATAGAAACAATTTTAGGAAAAATCAAGAAAAATTAGTTAAATTCCCTGACTTTTCGTAAAAATTAGTTAAATTCCCTGACTTTTCGTAAAATTCAGCAAATTCCCTGACTTTTCCCTGACTTTTTTACTAATATTTAATTTCCCTGACATTTCCAGGTTTTCCCTGTTTTCCAGGTGAGTGGGTCCCTGACTCATCTCGTTATTATTAAATTATTCTCTTAGAAAAACATTTTTTTCTTTCTTAAGACGCATTTTAACTATACATACTTTTTTAAGTACTACCATATTTTGTAGTAAAGGACAGAAGAAAATTTTAATTTAAAAAAACGATAAAAAATGGCTTTTTTGCTTAACTACTAAATATTGCAGATATGAAGTTTTGTCTTCGAACGGCAGTTTGTGGTAGTAAAGAAAAAACTTTATTCTTTATTGTTTTTAAAAATTAAAATTTTCTTCTGTCCTTTACTACAAAATATTGCAGATACGACCTTTAACCTTAACACGGCAGTATAGCTGCTAAAAAATTATAATTAAATTTAACTTATCTTAGAAAAAAACAATAAAGCGCTATAATTTATAAAGTAAAAATGTGGAGTTGCGTCTTTTTGGCTAAGCACGGCAGTATCGCTCTAGCGTAAAAATACTGTTTGTTAATTATGAATTATTTAGGATTGTTTGTTTAATTGTAATTTAGTCCAGGCCAAGCCCAGGCTACTTATGGTTGTTTCAAAACCAATAGTTGGCAAGATGGATTTTCACGGTTGGTTAGAACTTGCCAAAAGTCCACACTCAAAAGCCTTGTACAAATTCCTATATGTATATGTATAAGTAGCCTGGACTAAATTACCAAATTTTGCAATATTCTCTTAATATTGAAGAATTAAGACTAATATTTTTTAGGTTTGCCCTCCACAAAAAAAAACATTTATGTATACCGATTATCTATTAAATAGATTTAAATTTTAATATGTAGGTACATATAGATTTTATTTTATATTATATTATTAATACAATAAATAAATCTTGTATTCATACTTGTTTAATTTAATTTAATAAATACAATATATAAAGGCACCCTACGAAGCATCAACATTCAAATATGGCGCCAATATATGTTACAGAAATCTACTTCAATTTTTGGCATTGCTAAGGGTATTGTAGACCTAGATGGCGTTAATTTACTTTAGCCTTTTGCCGTTAGCGCTAGTGCAGTTTCCAATCTATGGGGTGTATTATCTTTGTGTTACTCTACTAAAAAATTTTAAAAAAAGTAGCCCATTTATCTCTATGTTAAAAATCATTTCAATCCGTAAAAAAAGAAACAAATTAAAGTAAAAGAAAGTTACTCTCCTAGCAGTCAAAAAATCAAAAAAGTAATAAAGTCAAAAAAAAGTCAAAAAAGCTAAAATACATAAAAAAAACAGTCCATGAACTATCTCTATGCAAAAAATCATTTTGATCCGGTATTTTTAATAAAAAAAGTAGAAAAGGCGAAAAAAAGGACAAAAAATAATGGCCAAAAAAGAAAAAAAGTCAAAATAAGTCATAAAGAGAAAAAAAGTTTACAACAATTAAAAACAAAGCAAGATCAAGTCAAAAAAAGCTAAACATTTTTTTTTAAATAATCCATTTTACTTTCCTGTTTGCAAAAAACATCTTGATGTTTTTTTTATAAAAAAACTTAAAAAAGACAAAAGAGTAAAAAAAATAGGATCAAAAAACCAAAATTATTTAAAATAAGTCATAATGAAAAAAGAAAGTTTAGTTAAAAACAAATTAGCCTAAATTATTCTCCTAGCACAGTCAAAAAATCAAAAATGTAAAATAGTAAGAAATTTCAATATGGTTTTTTAATAAAAAAAAATAAAAAAAGCGAAAAAAGTATAAAAATAGGATCAAAAAACAAATTAAAGTAAAAAAACAGTCTAAATAAGTCAAATAAAAAAAATAATGGTCAAAAAACAAAATAAAATAAAAAGAGTCAAAATAAGGTATAATGAAAAAAAGTTTACAACAATTGTAATTGTAAAATAGTAAAGAAAGTCAAAAAAGCTAAAATAATTTTTTTTAAATAACCCTGTAGGCAAAAAATCATTTTTCAATAAAAAAATTTCAAAAAGCGAAAAATGTAAAATAGTAAAGAAAGTCAAAAAAGTTAGAAAAAAATTATGTATGCAAAAAAACATTTCGAAAAGTAAAACAATAAAATCAAAAAACAAAATTAAGTAAAAAAGAGTCAAAATAAGTCATAATGAAAAAAAGTTCACAATTAAAACCAAATTAGCTACTAGCACAGTTAAAAAATTAAAAATGTAAAATAGTAAAGAAAGTCAAAAAAAGCTAAAAAAAATTAAAAAAATAGTAGGTACATGTTACTTTCCGGCTTATAAACAATCTGTATACAAAAAAACATTTTTATTAAAAAATTAAAAAATAACATCAAAAAACAAAATTAAGTAAAAGAGTCATAACAAGTCATAATAAAAAAAAGTAAAAAATAATGGTCAAAAAACAAAATAAAAGTCCAAATAAGTCATAATAAGAAAAAAGTTTACAACAATTAAATTACTCTTCTAACACAGTCAAAAAAATCAAAATTTAAAATAGTAAAAAGAGTCAAAAAAGCTAAACATTTTTTTAAAAATAGTCCATGTTACTTTCCGGTCCAAAAACTATCCCTATGCAAAAAGTAAAAAAGTGAAAATAAAGGGAAAACATTCACATTGAGTCAAAATATGAAGTTTACAAAAAATCAACAAAAAAAGTAGCCTAGTACAGTCGATGAAAAATTCGGAACTGACCAAAAGATAAAATTTATCTCTTTAATTCGTTTTCTATTGGTCGGAAAAAAATTCTTAAGACAAGAAATTTTTCACATACCTATAAATTTTATTAATTTTCTTAAACAGGAAAGTAAAAAAGTTACGAAAGTATTAAAAATGCTTTAGGAAGAGTACATACATATATAGCGCTGAAATTTTATTATTTACATAATGTGTATTGCTTACCTCAGTTTCATTTGTTCCTGGCAAGTTTTAATAATATTATGTGTGGCTGGAATATCAGTGTCGCACAAAAACGTTTGAAACTTTGTGGTATGTTCATCCCACATCAGCAGCCTGAACATTTTTGCGTAGCCCTCTTCGATGAGCTTCTTGAACAGCCTGAACACCGATTTTCTGTCTATCTTCTTGTCATAGCCTAACCAAAACAATCATTTAAATGTGGAATGAGACAAATGGGGTAAGTAGTTAAATTTTTTCTGACCTATACTTTTTATGGTTTTATTCAAGGCGTTTTGTAATTTTAAACATTTCTGTGAAATCGGAATTTCTATTGAGTTTACCGTTTTCGAGATATTTACAAAAAAAAAATCTCCTAATTACGTCACTAGGCTATTGAAAACGTTGCCAGCTTTTTCTATGGTTGCCAGTGTGTTTAGTTTAAGATTCTTACGATAGATGGCGCCACGTTATAATATTTTAGTTTTAAAACCACTTGATCTATAATTTTAGTTGAGAAGAAGAAGAAGAATTGATTTTTTGACGTTTCTTTTTTTCGGGTTATGTTTTTTTTAAATTTAGATTATTGAAAATAAATGTTATTGTTATGTTATTTGTAATTGATATTAGATAATATTATTAATAACGCAGAGGAATCTTGTGGAATGGTTGGTTACATTGAACATTGGAGCTTTTAAACAAATAAAGTAAGTACCTATAATTATAATCATATTTTGTCGTAAATGCATTTCATTAGTATAATGCCTAGTTCTTTATATTCTTTTAGATATATCTTGGACTCTAAAATATCAAACAGTAATATGATACCTCGTAATAAGGAAGATAGGTACTTAATGAATTTGGTGACCATCTTTCACTCAACTGACAGTGACAGTATTTGTACATAACCTCTTCGGGTATTTTCTGACATAACCGAACTTGACAACAGGGTAATTTTTAACCAATAGAAATCTTAGAATGTTGGTCACATGGCAAGGTTTGTGACGTCATAAAAATTTATATTTTTTGTAAATATCTCGAAAACGGTAAACTCAATTGAAATTCCGATTTCACAGAAATGTTTAAAATTACAAAACGCCTTGAATAAAACCATAAAAAAGTATAGGTCAGAAAAAATTTAACTACCCCATTGCCAACTTACCCTCCTCCTTCTCGATACATTCGATAGTTTTCGACAACTTGTGGGAATCTTCGACGACCCTGTCCCTTTTAACAGCGTCCAAGATAATTTTCAGCCTGGACAGCACTCGAGGCGTTTCGTCGTTCTTCGAGACGTAGGCGGAGTTTTCGGGCACGAAAGTGACAGGCGGCGTGGACATCTCCACCACCACTCTGACCCCCTTTTCGTCGGTCTCGTCGACTATGACGACGGGATTCGAACCCATGTAGTTCACGGGCAGTTTCGGGATTTTGTCGTTGCCATAGTTCGATATGACCGACGCGTTCAGGTCGGTTTGCTGAAGAAAGTTTAATTGGTACTATGCTCCGCACCTCAAAGTCCCGCCACGTGACCACGTACGGAACGCAGTCTTTTGAAAATTTGGCATTCAAGGCTTTTCAGGTTATGTATCTGTCAAAGTATAGTCAACGAAAGAAATATATTATGTTCAGGCGTTAAAAATGTATAAATCTTTATAACATTACAATAACAATGGATGGTTTAAGAATTTAAGAATATAAATACTGCATTTAATGAAATTCTAAAGTGTATGGTGCCAAATAAGTAATATTTTTGTGCATTTGGTCCAAATATCTGGTTTTCTCCATAAAATAATTTTAACTAAACAGCATTTATTAAAAAAAATCTAGCTTCTCTATTGTGGAATAAGAATATCTGTTTTAATATCATCTAATTTTGTAATTTTAAGGTTAGAAAAATTTATTTTGACCAAATTAAATAAGTATTTTGGATTATTTAAAAGACTGTATAATATGGTATTTAAAAATGTGGTAGTTTTTCTTATCCAGCTTAAAGTGTACCTACATAAAGTTTTGTCAGTACAAATAGTTCAAAAGCTTCAACTGAATTTGATCTACATCAAAAAATCATTATAACTTTAAAAATTTTAATAAATCACATGTCATGGGAGTATTAAATATTTTCACATTGCAAGTTTCTCTAAAAATTGTTTGTTTTCTTATAATCTAACTTAAAGTAAGTATGCCGAGAGGTATGTACAAGTTTTGTTGTTAGAAGTATAAAAGCTTCAATTTAATTTGAACTATATTCAACAATTATTTAGTATACCTACATTTATTTATGACCATATTAACACACTCTTTCAAATAATCCACTTATTTATTTTGGACAAAATAGATTTTTCTAACCTTAAAATACAAAATTAGATGATATTTTTTGTTCTAATACATTAACCTTTGATACAGATATTCTTATTTCATAATAGAGAAGTTAGATTTTTTTTAATAAATGATGTTTAGTTAAAACTATTTTATGGAGAAATGTAGACCCAATGCACAAAAATATCACTTATATTGCACCTTACACTTACACATTTCATTAAATGCAGTATTTATATTCCTAAATTCTTAAACCAACCATTGTTATTGTTATACTACAAAAATTTATTAACTTTTAACGCTTAAACATAAGGGGTAACACTATAAATATTATTTCTTCCGTTGACTATACTTTGACAGATACATAACCTGAAAAGCCTTAGCCAAATTTTCAAAAGACTGCGTTCCGTACGTGGTCACGTGGTGGGACTTTGAGGTGTGGAGTAAAAAAGTAACGTTTTTGGTTTTACAAATATTAAATCACACATTATTTATTTTCAGCTAAGTAGATCAAAAATTTTTGAAATTTTAAAAAATAGGGGGGAAATAACAAAAATAAAAATTATTTGTGTTCAACCTTTTTGTGAAACTCAACTTGACCAAATGTAGATGAAACTTAAAATTTATGGAAGTCCATAATAGTCCTATACTTTTGATATATTTTTTAGGTCTTAAGGTTTTTATTTATTAAATTTTTTTTAAACTATAAATATAATATGAATTATATGGCCAATACTTAAAAAATTAACTCACCTTTAAAGGAGAAATATTCTTTACAACGGAACTTTTATTATCAGCCGATTCTTTCAATTTTTCCTCACTGTTTTTGGCGATAATATCTTTAAGATTTATCCTACTTTCAATGCTTTCTTCCACACATTTCAAGTAAAAATCCAATGGATGTCTTTTAACAATGTCTCCCAACATTAACTTCACCAACAAAACTTTGCACACATTGTCGAATTTATCGACTTCCAAAATATGGTTTTTAATGTTGGAAACGCCAGATAAAACATTGAACTTGTATTGTTTTATGATTTCCTTGATGCTTGGTTTATTCACAGTAACGTACTTAACATACGTTAAATTAACACTAAACGATTCGGCGGGCGGTAAAAAAATCGCCCTGACTTCAACCTCCATTGGTGTTAAATTATTTCCATCTTGTTCCTCTCTTTTTTTTAATAATTCGGTGCATTTTATCGTCACTGGTTCCAACTCTATCACACTGGGGCATTTGTCGTTTTCTTTCGTCATCAGTCGGTCTAATTCGGCCTGTTCTACTGTGTAAACTTCACTTTTTGGTGCGTTTTTTATGGCCTCTCTTTGACGAGACAAAATTTCTTCTATGACCGACATGTCTCTGGGCTCTTTCGGAGCAGGTGGGTCAAATTTTAGGGTTGGGTTTTCTTGAAAACATTTCGGTATATATCTAGAGAAATTTGGTCATTTTTAGATTTCAGATTGAATGTTAATCAAAATTATATAAATTAAAGGGTGTATTTTTTTTCATGCTTAGTAAAGTAGACAGTTATCGGACACTTTATAGTTTTTGGACTACAATTATAAATATCTGAATCCGAAAAGACCGTCAAAAACTATCAAAGTTAAGCAGTTTTTGAGATATGGGTGATTCTACAAAAGTTGGACAACTTGATGTCATCAGTCAATAGAGTAGGTATTTTAATATTTTTTGTAAATATTTTAGTATATTACAAAAGATCCAGGTTTTTTTAACTTGTCCACCCAATTTTAATGTATTTTTTCAAAAGCACGTTTGTAGAAAACATAATAAATATTCAAAACATCACTACCTTGGCGTGTCACAACTCCTGAATCAAATATTTGAGTGATTTTGTTTTAAAATATATTCAATTTATCTTAAATTTTTCAATTTCACTACAAACTATAAAACTTTAAATAATGTATTTTTCATATTTTATCATAGATTCGAATAATAGCAATTTTAAAAAAAATGATAATCATTGTACTCACTTTTACCCGTCAGTTCTGTGTCAAATGTTAAAATTCAAAATTCCTGCGAAATATTGAAGTTTAAACGTCAAGTCCTCGTTTTAATTCAAGTGTTGGTAAAAAAATTACCTACAGAGCCCGCCCTTTGCACGACAGTCATCTTGAAAACAATGCAAGCGGCGCAGTTGTGCTGAATGCACGTATAGTTCCAGTCAAAATTTCAGTACTGTGGTGAGTAGTTATTTTTTTACGTATATATATATTTCATTGTAATTTATATAAGGCTATATGTGATTTGTTGATAAGTAGCATCCACTAATAAAAATATCAGTAAAATACTTAATTCCGAATTATAATCTTAAATTTGTATCCCATTCATCAGTAGCGTGTCGTCAGTTCCATGTTCGATGTTTCGGTTATTTTTTTTTCGCAAACTTCAATTTAAATTCTGCTTGCGCAGAACTTGTTTATTTAATGTCATTTTAAACTCATATAAATTTGGTGTGGGTTCCATATCTAATAATTGAGATATCGGTATACCCAAAATCCACCAGCCGCCACAGTGTGTGGTATTATTTGATTTTAAGATATTTAATGTATAATATGCTCAAAGTTGCAATAAATCTTATATTTTCCAATAAAATATGTATTTAATTATTACTCGTCACTTCCCTTGCATTCAAATTTAGAAAACTCAGATATTTCAGAAACTGTTTGAAAAAGCGACTGGCCCGGTCTGGAACAGTATATTTATTATATTATCTATGTTCTCATAACAAAATACTGTATAAACAAAAAAAGGTCAAAAGTTGCCCAACTTTCGTAGAATCACCCATATAGTCAATTTCATATTATATGTAAAATTGATTATATTTCAAAAATTGTTAAAACTTTTGACGACATTTTCGGATTCAGTGATTAATATTTCATAGGAATTGACTGCTAAATGTCCTGGATACAAATTGACGAGAATTATTAGTGGCTGCTTTTTCGCTATGACACGTTTGACTAATTCATTTTTAGAGAGTAAGTAATATAGTGATTTCTTCGTCACAGGACATCTTGCAGAATAACACCGATTTAAATAAAGTGCATGATAGAGAACTCAAAAAACTAATGGCAACAAAATTAATAAATTCGGAAAATACTTTTAACATACCACCCGAAAAAATATTAGATATATATAAATCATTCTAGATATACCACACTTAATGATATTTGCAACAAACTATTTCAGAAGTCAGACCAAGGAATTAGTAGTTACTTTCAGAATCCAGAAAATGGATGAGGAATCCGAGAAAAAAATATATGAATTACATGATATTTACAAAAACGAAATAAAAAAATTACTGAAAAAGCAATTTTTAAAAATATTTAACAATTTATGTTATTTGATGTGAAGTTTTTATGTTTATATAAAAATTGTATGTCCAATAACTATGGTCCATGTGTCCAATTACTATTACTATTTCTTTAAATTTATCGACTTAGACTTTGGACTTAATCCACAGTCTCAATATTTACAACATTTTGTTGCACATTATACTAAATGGGGTAGTTAAATTTTTTCTGACCTATACTTTTTATGGTTTTATTCAAGGCGTTTTCTAATATTAAACATTTCTGTTAAATCAGAATTTCAATTGAGTTTACCGTTTTCGAGATATTTACAAAAAATATAAATTTTTATGACGTCACAAACCTCGCCATGTGACCAACATTCTAAGATTTCTATTGGTTGAAAATTACCCTGTTGTCAAGTTGTCTTGTTAATGATTTCATTCGGTTATGTCAGAAAATACCCGAAGAGGTTATGTACAAATACTGTCACTGTCAGTTGAGTGAAAGATGGTCACCAAATTCATTAAGTACCTATCTTCCTTATTACGAGGTATCATATTACTGTTTGATATTTTAGTCCAAGATATATCTAAAAGAATATAAAGAACTAGGCATTATACTAATGAAATGCATTTACGACAAAATATGATTATAATTATAGGAACTTACTTTATTTGTTTAAAAGCTCCAATGTTCAATGTAACCAACCATTCCACAAGATTCCTCTGCTTTGGAGTCAGTTATTAACAAATCACTTATATAATATCAATTACAAATAACATAACGTTAACATTGATTTTCAATAATCTAAATTAAAAAAAAAAACATAACCCGAAAAAAAGAAACGTCAAAAAATCAATTCTTCTTCTCAACTAAAATTATAGATCATGTGGTTTTAAAACTAAAATATTATAACGTGGCGCCATCTATCGTAATAATCTTAAACTAAACACACTGGCAACCATAGAAAAAGCTGGCAACGTTGTCAATAGCCTAGTGACGTAATTAGGAGATTTTTTTTTTGTAAATATCTCGGAAACGGTAAACTCAATTGAAATTCCGATTTCACAGAAATGTTTAAAATTACAAAACGCCATAAAAAGTATAGGTTAGAAAAAATTTAACTAACCCATTAATATAGTATTGAAAAAAATACCTTAAGTATCGCTGCTTTCCCACATCATGTTTTTTAGTAAAAACCTCCTTCTTGGCAAGCAACCGTCTCAGTATAAGCCTTATAGTATAACTTTCTATTTCGCATTTAGCGCCTATTTCTGACAAGGTCATACCCTCACACCCATGGGCAAGAATTACATTATAAACTTCAGTGCAACTATCTTTGTTGACACTTTTATGACCTGGCACAAAGTCACCTAAAAATATTACCTAATAAAGACATTTTGAATAAATAATAATAAAATAATCTATAATAACTTTTATCTTACCAAAAAGTACGCCACTGATCGACTAGGAACTTTAGGCTAATCTGGTTGCCTAATTTAATTTATTATGTTATGGTTGGTAACCACCGGCGTTTCCAGATTCTGTCAAAAAAGTTGCCAGATTTTGTTTAAATTTAGCTTGATTACAAAAATGACAAAATCAACAATGCAAATTGTTAATTTGGCGTTTTTATTAATTGTTGATTTTGTCATTTTTGTAATTAAGGTAAATTCAAACAAAATCTGGCAAATTTTATGGCAGAATCCAGTGCATTTCCTTCAAATTTTAGGTTATGGGCCCAAATTGTAAATATCTTCACAAATTGAATGTTTAAAGTTTAAACTGCGAACTTGTCCTAATTTCATCTGAGCAAACAGAAAGAAAAAAACCGAAGAAAAAATTAATTTTGTGGTTATGGAGTTTTTAAAATGGGTACTAAATTTTCTAATCATTGCTTAAGCTAATAGCTGGATGAGTAAATAAATATAGGAGGATATTAGAGCTTTAAGGGCATAAAATTTTTGTATTTATTGAGTTTTTACAGAACACAGGTGTGTAATCAGTGGCGTATCACAAAAATATAAAAACTTCTAATGTATATTTTTTCTATATCTTTGGGAAAATATTTTTTTCAAAATTTTTCCGTTACACCTTATGTCAAAAGGTTGGCAGTATTTTAATACACTTACAGGCAAAATAATCGATCCACACAAATTTTCGATAAATTTCAATTGCAAATAACTTTTTTATTTGATTTCGGATTTAAACAAATATTAAAGAATATTGTAGATACATTAATGGAGAATCGCTCACATTTTAAAAATTACTAAAAAATACACGTACGTTTATAATATACAGGTTTAAAGAAAAAGATTTTTATTACCATAAGTTTAAGACACCCTGTAGAGTGGCAAAACCGTATATTGTTCTAAATTAAGTTTTAATTATCAAGTCGCATCTATTTTTAACAGTTTTGTTTTTGGTTCACCTCGATAAATTTATTTTTGTGGAAAATATGGATTTTTTAAAAAAACATTGCAATTTCCAATATTTTTCTGTATGAAGAACTAAGGTTGCTATGGTCCATCCATAGGCTATGGAGAATTACAGTGACAGTTTTGTTGAATCATCCCATACTTGACATGTCGACTGATGTTGCCCTTTGTACTTTACTTCTTGTGGCGTTTAAAACACTTGCCACGTAATACTGTGACCGTCCATCCTGGATTAAATTAATGGCTCTGGCAACATCAGTCGGGGACATATCCATTTTTTTAAGTGAGAAGACACCTCAAAATTTAAACATTAATTTGCAAAAAACAATTTGATAGCTTTTGAAAGCAGTGTATGACATGTCCAAGTATGGGATGATTCAACAAAACTGTCACTGTCATTCTCCATAGCCTATAGGATGGACCATAGCAACCTTAGTTCTTCATACAGAAAAATATTGGAAATTGCAATGTTTTTTTAAAAAATCCATATTTTCCACAAAAATAAATATATCGAGGTGAACCAAAAACAAAAATGTTAAGAATATATGTGACTTGATAAATAAAACTTAATTTAGAACAATATACGGTTTTGCCACTCTACAGAGTGTCTTAAACTTATGGTAAAAAACATCTTTTTGTTTAAACCTGTATATTATAAACGTACGTCTATTTTTTAGTAATTTTTTAAAATGTGAGCGATTGTCCATTAATTTATCTACAATATTCTTTAATATTTGTTTAAATCCGAAAACAAATAAAAGAGTTATTTGCGATTGAAATTCATCGAAAATTTATGTGGATCGATCGATCGTACTCTACTTACTTTGAGGTTCGTCGTTATCGGAGTCGTCGTCGTTTTTTTGCCACGTTGCCGATATATTGACGCTTGGGTCTTTTAGTTCCAAAACTCGAACGTGGCGTTCCTTGTTTTTTGAACCACACCTCCATTCTCCCACTGCCGCATTGGGGTAAATTGATCTGTACCTTACAAACTAAAAAAAAAAACGAATTAAAAAATGTAACCCTACACAACTGACGAAATTAATTACAATTGCAGTAGTAGAAGTAATTTTTTAAATAATGTGAACCACAATCGTAATTTATAACAAAAATCCCAGGAAAACCAGCAAACACATTAATCTGATTATATAATGAACCATTACATAGTTTTAAGGAAATTATTGATCGATTTGACTAAACAAGCACTTAAATCAAAGGTAATTGAGCCCTTTACAACTTTCCCTTGTATAGTAAGTTGTAAGTCCTTTTTTTTACAAAAATCGAAGTCGAAAATTTACATATCTTTCTGGGAAAAATAGAAATCGAAAAGATAAGTCCAGTTTGTTTTATTTTACGTATAGATTATACTTAAAGGAAAAAAATAAGCAGCTGTTGATAAAAATCCATGGATAAATGGCGAATTCAGTTTTTTCTTCATTTGATTGAATTATATAAAATTTAATATTCAACAATGATTTTTATTTTAAACATTAAATATTGAAATTAAATTATATATTGAATAATAAACAATAAATATTGAACATTGAGGTTTTATTTTGTTGTAATAAGCAGTTTAAAAAAAAATCTGGCTCCTTCTTTGTTTTTTGTTGCTTTCGTATTCCGTTTCTCGTACGAGGGACCAAATGTAATCACCCATCATGGCTGCATCCCAGAAGCCGTGATACCGCCGCTCCATAGCCTTCATTTGCTGGTGAAAACGTTCTCCGTGCTCATCACTTACGTCGCCCAGATTGTGCGGGTTATTTACGCACTCGAACTCTACTTATTTTACTAATTTTACATTTTTTATTAACTAAATAAAGCCATGATAAAAATACCTTGTTGAAATATCAAAAAATAGCAGTAAAATGTCACTATGCCAACACGAGAAACAAAAGAATTCACGTTTGCGGAGTCATGTCAAATTTAAATTTTGAATAATGTTTTCGGTGAAAAAAGTACGTAAAAATTCCAATCATGCACTTTACTTAGGTTTTCATTAAAGAATAAACATATTATAAAATAAAAGAAAAAAAATAAAATAAAAATCGTCAAAAATCTGAATTCATAACTTCGCCATTTCTCCATGTATGTTTATCAACAATAGCTTGTTTTTTTTTACAAAAATGTCAGCTTCACGAAAAAAAAATTCAAACTGGAGTTATCTGTTTGATTTAAACCTTTTCCAGGACGATATGTAAATTTTCGACCTCAATTTTTGCCATAAAAAGGAATTTTTTAAGTTATTAAAATCGCTAGCGTCAAAATACTTATCCGATATCAAAAGTATGTAAAAGAAAGTTTTAGAGGACTCAAATACCTTCAATTTAAGGGCTTGTTTGACCAAATCGATCAATTATATTTCAAGCTATACTCAAAAACGTCAAAACAACTCCGAAAATTAAAAAAACAATTAAAAATTCATATTTCAAAAACGCTTCCATAAAAAAATTGAGTATAATGGGAGTGCATTTCAACGTATTTTTTAGTTTTTTAAACCTATTAATATATTTTAAATTATTATTATTATACTTACAACATCTGTTTTGACGTGATTTCTGAATTCATCCGATTTAACTACTTTAATAACCGACGCAAAATTATGCGTAAATGTTTTTCTAATCTCACTGTATTCTATTGTATGGTTCGGTTTTGTCTTCATTAAATTTATTACTTGTTCCGCTATTTTAAGTCTTTTTGTCTTCTGTAGGTTGTAAAATCTTGTCAGGTGCAATAGCCGCCCTAAAATATATTATTTTAACTATAATTTCCCATATACCTACACGATACAATGTATTAAAAAATTTATTTTTTTTTCTAAATTCTAAAGAATAAAAATAATTTATAATAACCCTTATCCTAACAAAAAGTACGCCACTGATGAACTAGGAACTTTGGGCTAATCTGGTTATCTAATTTAATTTATTATGTTATGGTTGGTAACACCGGGGTTTTCAAATTCTGTCAAAAAAGTTGCTAAATTTTGTTTAAATTTAGCTTGATTACAAAAATTACAAAATCAACAAAGAAAATTGTTAATTTGTCATTTTAATTAATTGTTGATTATGTCATTTTTATAATGAAGGTAAATTCAAACAAAATCTGGCAACTTATGACAGAATCTAGTGCACTTCTTTCAAATTTTAGGTTATGGGCCCAAATTGTAAATATCTTAACTAAGGGAAGTGCTTTTGGATTTATTTACACAAATTGAATGTTTAAAGTTTAACCTGTGAACTTGTCCTAATTAATTTTGTGGTTATAGAGTTTTTAAAATAAGTACTAAATTGCTTAAGCTAATAGCTGGATGAGTAAATAAATACAGAAGGGTATTAGACCTTTAAGGGCATAAAACTTATGTATTTATTGAGTTTTTATTTATATTTTGCAAGAAAAGTTTTTAGTGACAATTTTTTTTATCTTTGTCTTTGAAAGAATATTTTTTTGTTACAAAAGTTATTTTAATATATTACATTAATTACATAACATAATAATTTGATATTTGATATTTGATTTGATATAAAAAAAATATTATTATTATGTAACTTACCCTGTCTTAACTTATCTGTCATCAAATTTTTAATATAAAACACCTGTTTCCTGATCAAATCATATTTAATAAAATTATTTTGGTAATGATGCAGACTTTTTGAATCTGGTATTAAACTTTGTAAAGAAATATGTCCCCTTGTTATTTCTCCATATTGTCGAGCACGGCCCAGTCTTTCTATTATTCCATACTCAATATCATTTAGTTCAGTTATGGGATCTGATCCTTCAAACATTATTGCATTTTTTCTTGCATCTTGGTCCGCTACAATAACAAGTTTATTTCCATACCTTAAAAATAACGAAAATATGTTTTATACAGTCTATAAGTATATAAAGTTATAAAGAAACAATAAAACATACTTTCCCACAGCTTCTTCCAAAGACAGATCATCAATGTCTTCCAATTTTTTTCTGGTACGATAAGTTTTACAAGACCCTCTCACCCCATAATCATTAACCATTTCATATGGGTAAATATCAGGAAACATATTGTCTGCCTGGAAAAAGAATATTATTTAACTTTAAAAACAATAAATTAAACCCAGTATACATACAAGTTCCAAACAAATTCCATCTTCTTTGCTTACGTAATCATATCTATTATAAATAAATAATTCTGGCCGAGGCTCCTCTAATTCAAAGAAATCCACATTATTGTTGCTACGTAGCAACCTCCAAATTAGACTTTGAGAATTAAAATCAAAATAAAACGTTTTATTTGTGAATTGTTCCAATCTTTTCCAAAGGGCTAAAATAGTTAGTTTAATATGAAATGTTTATATTAAAATGTGAATGTTACCTTCTAAAGTAATTCCGTCAAGACCCTCCAATGAAACTTCATCCATAACTTGAAAATACAAGTCCTTATTCGTAAGTTCCTCATAACTTACAATCGACTGATTGAACAAAGTCTCACTTTCACAATTCTGAATCGTCAAGACTTCATCACTACAATTTTTATTAATTTCGGCCTCGGTTTTGTAGCTGTACGTTTTTGTAACCTTCTTAACGTTAGCGATACCGCCTAAATCTTGATTTTCTATGTTTGTCACGTTGTTTGCCAAATTCTTGTTCAGCTTGTTTTTCCTCTTCTTGATGGCGAAATTCTTCTTGATTTTGTGTATTTCGCCATCGTTTGTGGGTATGTATTTACCCATCGCTACGATAAATCGCTTTTTATCTTTAAAATCGACGAAATAACACAAAACACCAAAGATAAACAACGCATTATTGACATAAACTTGTGAGGTTATGTCGAAAAAATTTGAGGTTATGTTCTATAGAGTGCACGCAAACCAGAGACTGGATATTTATGCAGCTTAAAGTTTAAAGGGTGAGCAAAATAAAACACGAAAAAAACCATTAAATTCATTTAATATTTGTACTAAGTATGTTTTTACAATAAATATTATACCTAGTCATACATTTTATTATTTTAGTTAGTTTAAATGTAAAAAATCACTCTTTTTTGAACATTTGTCAAGTATTTTTAAAATATACCTAAAAACCGAAATTTATAAATTTATATTTGTGGTCCTTTTAAATTCGATTAAATAAAATTATGAGATGGCGTGCTTTGTACTGTTTATACTTTAAAAATACCTCACATCACAATGTATGTCATGACAATTAATTTTTAACATAAAAATAAATCGTTTCATAAAAATCCCACGTTGGTATTTGAGTAAGGAAAGCAATCGCATAATTGAGGTTATGCGGTAAAATGACAGATAGGTAACCTCAATTTTTTATTTAAATCTCAAAGTGGGACTTTTTGATGTAAGCATAGTATCATGCAGTTTATTTTTTGAAGATTTTTAAAATTGTCATAAGTAGTTATTTATTAATTTTCTACGTAGATACAAAAAATGGTTTTTATGTATAAAGTGATATTTAAATGCAAACTAATTTCCGTGCTTAAAAAATATGAATGTTTTGTAAATATTTATTAATTTTTGTGGTGGTGGAACATTGAAAAAATTCCAAACTGGCTTTTTGTTTTAATTTGTTTTTGTCAACCAATAGGAAACAAGATAAAACCTTACAGGAATATACAAAATCCAGCCAACCTTGTAACTGTTACAAAACTTTTAATAAAATAGAAGTCACATTAGCTGAAATAACCCCATACAAATAATAACCAAAGCTGCTTATGTTTTACTACAATCATTATTATAATTCATCTATATCATCATCTATAAAACTTTTCAATAAATATCAGAGAAATAAACAACAAAAAATATAAAAAATATAAAATATTAAAATATATACAAAATTCTGAAATCCTTAGCATCTAGAAAATTATCACATAAAATACTAAAATCTAATTATGATTATCTTTCTTATATATTTTTCGACATTTCCGCTTAAACTATTTAACGAAGTACAATATGTACGAAGTACACATTAAAATACTGAATGTTTTTTTATACGACGCGTCACGTTAAATTTTCTATATAAGTTGAGAGTTTAAATGCTTTTTAAATTAATAAACGTTTTTTAGCATTGGTGGTATGTTTTGTACGTTTTGCCCAAATTGGCCATGTTCCAAGTAAATCATGTATACATACATACCCTAAAATTTTGAAATTCAGAAAAACCTTTATCAAAGTTTTAATTATTTATTTTAAAGAGTTCTACAATGTAACCCATTTGTTTGCGACTCACCCCTGTAAAATCTTTATTTATTATGCGATTTTAACCGGATTTGTTTTAAAGTGTGGATATTATATAGCAAAAAACGCGATATTTGTACAAAATACAAGGCCTACTATGTCAGTTTTTAAGAATTTATATTAGCGATTTTTTTAAACAAAATCTAAGCACGGCACTGGATTCGCCACCCCTCAAAACGACCCTATACAAAATTTTATTGAAAAATTTTAAGTAGAAAAATGCGCAATAATAACTACAAAAATTTATTTTGTCAAATTATCCATGAAAAAAACATTGACATAAAATTAACTATATAGTCACGGCCAAATCTGTATGGGTGCACGTCATCAACGGCATATGACGTCAGCGTTAAGGTCTATTCATACGTGCCCAGACACAATCTAACGCTCGTGTATTGTTGACTGTTTATAGCGGTGGGGTCTGTTATTAAGATGGAATTATAACGTCCTTGTTATAATCTTCTGCACTAACTAATTAGGAGTTTGTTACAGGCAAATTTTTATTAAATGTGTTTAAAGAGAAAACAAACGGAGTTTATTACATTTTTATTACATATGCACATAACAAAAAAATTCTAAATTATCAGAAGCACAAAATATATAAATTACCAGTCGTCCTTGTCATCAGAGCAAACCAGGTCAGAATTGAAGTCTGATTATTTCCCCAAATTTATTATTAAGGGCGCAATGTCTTCGAAATCTAATAACGGCTAGTTGCCAACAAGCCTTATATCATTGTTTGCACAATCCAGGGATAGAATCTTATAAACATAATGTATAATATTATTTATAATAATTTGCAACAAACGATGCTTCCGGACGAAATGTCACAATTACAAAAATACGTCAAATATAAAATGACAGCGACCCATCAATAATATTGAACGGTGCGCGCCAGCCTTAAGCTATTACCAACTGGCACACACAAAAATTACTAAGTGAATGGTTTTATTTTGATAATTTCGTGAAAAAACGTTTTAAAACAAGGAAATTGTTACAGTTCTTGGTAAACAAAACGCAAATGAATGATTTCTTTTTAATAACACATCAGAATTACGCCTTAAAAAAGCAAATTTAACGGCAGTAACTTTACAATTCAAAGTTGGTAATGATGACGTCATTATATCTCATTGATGACGTGCACCCATATAGATTTGGCCGTGACTATAGTATAGTATTTCAATGTTTTTTTCATGGATAACTTGACAGAATAAATTTTTGTAGTAATTATTGTGCATTTTTTTACCTAAAATTTTTAAATAAAATTTAGTAAAGTGTCGTTTAAGGGGTGGTGAATCCAGTGCCGTGCTTAGATTTTGTTTAAAAAAATCGCTAATATAAATTCTTAAAAACTGACCTTGTATTTTGTACTAATATGGCATCTTTTGCTACAAAAATACAGTTTATCAAGATCTACACTTTAAAACAAATCCGGTTAAAATCGCTCACAAACAAATGGGTCACGCTGTATATTTGACTTTTTGGGACAGCATGTGCGAGTTGACATACATATTATGTATTACAAAAGTAATTTAAATGTTAAATTATAATTCTTTTATACAATTTTACCCGTGATTTAATTTTGAAACTAAAATACACCCATTCTAAAATTATACAGAGTGTTCTGTACAAATATTTTATGGATATATTTTTTATCAGTTAAACAAGTTTTACAATAAAGATTCTTGTTAAAAAATATGTAATTAATGTAATATATTAAAATACTGCATACCTTTTGACATAAGGTGTAACGGAAAAATATTTAAAAGAATATTTTTCCAAAGATGAAGAAAAAATATGCATTAGAAGTTTTTTATATTTTTTGTAACACCAATGGTTACACACTTGTGTTCTGTGAGTGCATAGATACCAACCAACAAAGTAGCTGCGCGTTGCCAGTCGTAAAAAATTGTTACTAAAAATTTGTCTTGCAAAAAATAAATAAAACCTCAACAAATACAAAAGTTGTATGCCCTTAAAGCTCTAATAGCCTTCTGCATTTATTTACTCATCCAGCTATTAGCTTAAGCAATGATTAGAAAATTTAGTACCCATTTTAAAAACTCCATAATCTTAAAATTCATTTTTTTATTTCTGTTTACTCAGATGAAATTACAGGTTAACTTTAAACATTCAATTTGTGTAAATAAATTCAAAAGCACTTAGTTCAGATATTTAAAATTTGGGCCCATAACCTAAAATTTGAAATAAATGCACTGGATTCTGTCATAAGTTGCCAGATTTTGTTTGTATTTACCTTCATTACAAAAATGACATAATAAACAATTAATAAAAACGCCAAATTCACAATTAGCATTGTAGATTTTGTCATTTTTGTATTTAAGCCAAATTTAAACAACTTTTTTTGAAAAAATCTGGAAAATTTTAATATATTAAATTAATTACATAACACAATGTACTTAGTTACTATTTCTTCACAACCTACTTGACATGGGTATCAAATGAAAGTGGGAAATTATATTATGTTTTTTAATCGTAATTAACTTTTGGAATAAACATTCGAAAAATATTAAACAACAACCACAATAACCGAAAGGATAACATCTTACATTTTTTCCGCGTAGAGGTTGAGCACTCGGTGTATTAACTCGTACTGCTCGGCCGTTTGCACCATGCCGCCGCGATTGAGGCGCAACGAGCACAAAATCGCGAGCACGTCGACGTTGAAGCTGCGCTTCAGCTGCTGGATGCCGTTGAGGATGGCCAGGAAGCATCCGGTGCGTCCGATGCCTGCGCTGCAGTGGACAACGAGTGGACTACGCGAGTTGTCCACCGATTTTTTGCGCTCCGACGGCTTTTGCGCAGGCAACCTGAAACATTAACCAACTCCATCGTCAACATTTTATCGCTGTACGCATGGAGCCTACACGAGGAGCCCGAACTGCATGTAAACAAGAATCTTCCTAAGATAAGAGGGCGCTGGTGTACTACCGTACCAAAACAGTAGAGGGGTATAACCAGAGATGGCGCCACTACTTATTATTTTGCAAATAATTGAAGTTATGCAACTGTCAGTTTATCGTTTTCTGAAAGCAATGTACCCATGTACTATGCTCCACACCTCAAAGTCCCACCACGTGACCACGTACGGAACGCAGTCTTTTGAAAATTTGGCATTTAAGGCTTTTCAGGTTATGTATCTGTCAAAGTATAGTCAACGAAAGAAATAATATTTATAGTGTTACCGCTTATGTTTAAGCGTTAAAAGTTAATAAATCTTTTTAGTATCACAATAACAATGGTTGATTTAAGAATTTAGGAAAATAAATACTGCATTTAATGAAATTTCAAAGTGTAAGGTGCAATATAAGTGATATTTTTGTGCATTGGGTCTACATTTCTCCATAAAATAGTTTTAACTAAACAGCATTTATTAAAAAAATCCAACTTCTCTATTATGAAATAAGAATATCTATATCAAAGGTATATAATACTGCATTTAATGAAATTTCAAAGTGTAAGGTGCAATATAAGTGATATTTTTGTGCATTGGGTCTACATTTCTCCATAAAATAGTTTTAACTAAACAGCATTTATTAAAAAAATCCAACTTCTCTATTATGAAATAAGAATATCTATATCAAAGGTAGGTTAATGTATTAGAACAAAAAATATCATCTAATTTTGTATTTTAAGGTTAGAAAAATATATTTTGACCAAAATAAATAAGTGGATTATTTGGAAGAGTGTGTTAATATGGTCATAAATAAATATAGGTATACTAAATAATTGTTGAATATGGTTCAAATTAAATTGAAGCTTTTATACTTCTTATGACAAAACTTGTGCATACCTTTCGGCATACCTACTTTAAGTTAGATTATAAGAAAACAAACAATTTTTAGAGAAACTTGCAATGTGAAAATATTTAATACTCCCATAACTTGTGATTTATTAAAATTTTTACAGTTATAATGATTTTGTGATGTAGATCAAGTTCAGTTGAAGCTTTTTAACTATTTGTATTGACAAAACTTTATGTAGGTACACTTTAAGCTGGATAAAAAACTACCACTTTTTTAAATACCATATTATACGGTCTTTTAAATAATCCCATATACTTATTTATTTTGGTCAAAATAAATTTTTCTAACCTTAAAATTACAAAATTAGATGATATTTTTTTTGTTATAATATATTAACCTACCTTTAAAACAGATATTCTTATTCCATAATAGAGAAGCTAGATTTTTTTTAATAAATGCCGTTTAGTTAAAATTATTTTATGGAGAAACCAGATATTTGGACCAAATGCACAAAAATATTACTTATTTGGCACCATACACTTTACAATTTCATTAAATGCAGTATTTATATTCTTAAATTCTTAAACCATCCATTGTTATTGTAATGATATAAAGGTTTATACATTTTTAACGCCTAAACATAATATTATTTTTTTCGTTGACTATACTTTGACAGATACATAACCTGAAAAGCCTTAAATGATAAAATTTCCAAAAGACTGCGTTTCGTACGTGGTCACGTGGTGGGACTTTGAGGTGTGGAGCATAGTACCTGGTTTTGTGTATAAAGTTCTTAATTTACAATAAATTTATATCAAATTTAACATTGGAATTAATGTTGGACTTTCTGATGTAGAGCATAGTAGAGTTTTTTATAAATACGTGTTTTTTTCTATAAAAGAATGTCGTGTAGTGTTAAAGCGTGTAAAACTAACATAATATTAAATCCAGATGGTATTTATTTTTAGTTTTATAGGTAGATGGCTTAAATAAAAGTTCAATATAAACAAATAAAGGTGGACATTATTAAATATGCTGTTTACTCATTTTATACATACTTTTTTATTTAAATTAAATTTAAATTATTAAACAGCGGTGTATTTCTAACCTGGAAATCTAATTTTGCTTCTCCAGAGTCGTAAAATCACTTCACAGATTATAAAGAATCACTTATATTTCACAACCAAAACCTATTCATTAGCATCTACCTAGCAGGTACAGCCATAAATAACAAAACGATTCGTACGTCAAATTTTGACGGTCAAAACATTATTGCAAGTCAATTGTCAAAACTTACTTGCTTACTTACGGACGCATCGACAATCAGCGCCGCTGGTGGTAAAAAAAAGTCTTAATTTGTGCAATTTAGTGGACAGGTTTTGTCAATTTTCCATATTAAGTTAGGGCTCCTTGTGTAGGCTCCATGGCTATACGCTAAAGAAGTATCGCTAGTAGCGCCACCACTCGGCTGTTATCATCTTAACAAAAGTAGAACTTTTAATAATCAGCTGTCAAACGCTTATGTTACAAACGAGTGTTTTTTTCATAGAAGCATTTTCGATATATGAATTTTCAATTGTTTTTTATTTATTTTCTGAGGTGTTTTGACGTTTTTGAGTATACTTCGAGTTCTAATTGATCGATTTGACCAAACAAGCACTTAAATCAAAGGTAATTGAGCCTTGTACAACTTTCTCTTGTATAGTTTTGGTATCGACTCAGTAGTTCGATACTGGCGATTTTATAAAGTTGAAAAAGTCCTTTTTTTACAAAAATCGAGGTCGAAAATTTACATATCTTTCTGGGAAAGATAGAAATCGAAAGGATAATTCCAGTTTGATTTATTTTACGTATAGATTATACTTAAAGGAAACAAATAAGCTGCTGTTGATAAAAATCCATGGATAAAAGGCGAAGTTATGAATTTTTCAGTGAAAGACCAAATTCAGTTTTTCGAAAATTTTTATGTTTTTCTACATTTTATTGAATTATATAAATTTTAATATTGAACATTGATTTTTATTTTAAACATTAAATATTGAAATTAATTTATATATTGAATATTGAACAATAATTTTTGAACATTGAAGAAATTAAAAAAATTATTTTGTTGTAATAAGCATAGGTTTAAAAAAATCTGGCTCCTTTGTTTTTTGTTATTTTCTTATTCGTATTAAAAAAGTACGTAAAAGGAGTTATATGTTTGTTTGTTTAAGATATTAAAATCGCTAGCGTCAAAATACTTATCCGACATGTATGTAAAAGAAAGTTTAAGAGGGCTCAATACCTCAGAAAATTGAAAAAAAACAATTGCAAATTCATATTTCAAAACCGCTTCCATAAAAAAAATTTAGTGTGATTTTCGTGTTTAGTGGGTCAAAATACATGGAAAAATTATAATGGGATATAGTGGGCAGAATTTTTTTTCGATTTTGTAAACTTAATGGGTTCGATTTTCGACCTACCTGCATTCCGCGAAGTTCGCTTTCTTCTTGCCGGCCGCCGCGCCCTCCAGACTCGGATCCTGCTGAAGATCGCGCAACTTCTCGGCGAGACTGGCGACCTGCATCGCCATCTTCAGCACTTGATCGGGATTGGCCATCTTGTGATCCGGCCAGCTGGCCAGCCAATAGTGGTGCAGCACGCGCACCTCTTCAGGTCTTTCCTTGCGAGACACTTCCAGGTGCCGGATCACGCAGTCTCCTAAGTGCTCTCTTTTCAAGTACCTAAAATATTTTTTTGTTTATCCGAAAGGCAATCCTAGTCAAATTCGTAAAAAAATTTCAGTGTTTTACTGTCCATAAATTTTGGCCAAAATTATTACCATAAAATTTTATTTTACCAAGAATTGCCAATTTTACTTATACTATTAAGGCTCTCTGCCATTTGTCAGTTGTCCCTAACATTTCTTATTAAAAAAATAATAAATTGTGACAGCTAATATAGAACTAGATTCATAAACAAGAATTTAAAATAACAAAAATGAATAAAAAATTTTCAATTAAATATAAAAATGAGGTCAAAAGTTGCCCAACTTTTGTAGAATCACCCATATATTTTATCTTGTTGCAAACAAAAAATATACAGGGTGCACCAAGTATCCATCGCCGACGGTGGACGAGTGGTTAGTGCTGCTGACTACAAGCCGGAGGTCGTGGGTTCGAATCCCACCAGGGGTATGGCTGTTTATTTGTGTTTGTCCTATTGTGTAATAGTCCTTCGGAGGGGACTTTAAGCCCGCGGTCCGTTCCTACCCCTAACCCGCACAAGCCATTCAGTTGGCTTATGGGACTTCTTAAGAAGTAAGGGTGGAACTAAAAGAGTACTTTTGTATATAAACTTTTTGTATGGATATATTTTTTATTTGATGACATTTACCCACAGACCTACAAACAAAATGGACTAGCCTTTCCCATTCAAAATACACAATGTTTTGTTGCCAAGAACTATTTAGATTAGGGGTAAAGGAGTAAGGGGTATTTATAAACAAGTTCCCACACCAGTGGCGTTCTGTTTTTAGGGATAAATAAAAATATTAAATTGTATATTTTTTAATGTGTTTATGTAAAAATTATATTTAATAGGTATATATAAATATATAGGTATAACAAAATACTAACCTTGTCAGTTAGTGTTCCAGATGATGTAGAATCTGGCTCTTTAAATCTAAAATTTAAGTGAATTCATTTATTTATTCAGTTTCCACGCCCCTGGCAGGGTTTGTTTTGTAAATAAACTAACCTATGAAAAGAAAGTTTTAAATTCTTGGATCCAAGTCTTTTACAAACGTAGCACTACTTCACCATTTTTATATCACTCATTATTGGTATTTTTCAGTATAAAATCAAATAAAAGTTGTGGATTGCAAGTATCTTTTACGTAAAATATAGATACTTCAAAGCAAATAAAGTCAGATGTGACAACTGAGGGAAAATATTTATTTTTGTTCCTTTCCACTTTTTTCAATGTAAATAAACCGGTCCATTTGTTTGTAGGTCTGTGCATTTACCAAGTTTTTAAAAAACTTCGGTTCTCAAATAATTTGAAAAAAACTAAAAACCTGTTAGAACTATAAAATCGTTATAATATCGTGAATTTTGAAAAAAGTAACTTTTACATGTACTTAAACATTACAGAATATTCTATTCTAGACACTTATTTAAATAAACACTCGCTACACATAGAAGGATACTTGGTTCACCCTGTATAATGCTTATTTTTCCATCAAGCCACACTGTAGGCGTTGACAAATATCGAAGGTCAAAGGTCACGGAAAACGGTTTTTTCGAGACAAAACTCGGACTATATAGTTCTTACCTTATTCTGTAGCTGCCGAAGGTGACTTCGTTTATTTCCTCGAAATCTACGACGTCCTCTTCGAAAGCCTGAACGTTTTTACTTTCGAACGTGAATTTGTCTTGCGCGCGCACCGATCTCACGGTGTAGTACGACTTTCCCACGGCCCTGGTGCTTTTGCCCAAGGGAAAGTACAACTCGCACTTGTTGCGACCTTTTTCTATCAGATTGGTCAACATCACGATACACTTACACTGAAAATTACGCAACTATTAGGTACTATGCTCCACACCTCAAAGTCCCACCACGTGACCACGTACGGAACGCAGTCTTTTGAAAATTTGCCATTTAAGGCTTTTCAGGTTATGTATCTGTCAAAGTATAGTCAATGAAAGAAATAATATTATGTTTAGGCGTTAAAAATGTATAAATCTTTATAACATTGCAATAACAATGGATGGTTTAAGAATTTAAGAATATAAATACTGCATTTAATGAAATTCTAAAGTGTATGGTGCCAAATAAGTAATATTTTTGTGCATTTGGTCCAAATATCTGGTTTTCTCCATAAAACAGCATTTATTTAAAAAAATCTAGCTTCTCTATTATGGAATAAGAATATCCGTTTTAAAGATAGGTTAATATATTATTACAAAATTATCATCTAATTTTGTAATTTTAAGGTTAGAAAAATTTATTTTGACCAAAATAAATAAGTATTTTGGATTATTTAAAAGACTGTATAATATGGTATTTAAAAATGTGGTAGTTTTTTTATCCAGCTTAAAGTGTACTTATATAAAGTTTTGTCAATACAAATAGTTAAAAAACTTCGACTGAACTTGATCTACATCGAAAAATCATAATAACTTTAAAAATTTTAATAAATCACATGTCATGGGAGTATTAAATATTTTCATATTGCAAGTTTCTCTAAAAATTGTTTGTTTTCTTATAATCTAACTTAAAGTAGGTATGCCGAGAGGTATGCACAAGTTTTGTCATTAGAAGTATAAAAGCTTCAATTTTATTTGAACCATATTCAACAATTATTTAGTATACCTATATTTATTTATGACCATATTAACACACTCTTCCAAATAATCCACTTATTTATTTTGGTCAAAATAAATTTTTCTAACCTTAAAATACAAAATTAGATGATATTTTTTGTTCTACCTTTGATACAGATATTATTATTTCATAATAGAAAAGTTAGATTTTTTTAAATAAATGCTGTTTAGTTAAAACTATTTTATGGAGAAATGTAGACCCAATGCACAAAAATATCACTTATATTGCACCTTACACTTTGGAATTTCATTAAATGCAGTATTTATATTCCTAAATTCTTAAACCAACCATTGTTATTGTGATACTATAAAGATTTATTAACTTTTAACGCTTAAACATAAGCGGTAACACTATAAATATTATTTCTTTCATTGACTATACTTTGACAGATACATAACCTGAAAAGCCTTAAATGCCAAATTTTCAAAAGACTGCGTTCCGTACGTGGTCACGTGGTGGGACTTTGAGGTGTGGAGCATAGTACTTTAGATTCTAAACTCAAAATCAGAGTTGGGAAAGTTACTTCTGAAAAGTATATAGTTACTTTTCTAAGATACTTTAAACAAAATACTTTGTTACTTCTGGTAACTAGATACTTTGAGTTAAAAGTATCTTTAGTTTAAGCCTGAATTATAGATTGCCTTCCTTCCTCCCTCCCGTAGAAGATGAACATTACGTAAATGTCACCATTAACATTTCCAGTGTAGGAATTTTTAATACTTTGTGATAATATTTTGCAATTATAGTAATAAAAAAAATCAAAGATTAAAATATTTTTTTAACAAAATCATATTTTGAAGTTATTTTAATATTTTAAAGTATCAATAATTGTTAAGTTTAATTAAAAAAAATTAATAACGGGCAATGTTAATGGTGACAATTACGTCAAAAATGTTTATTTAAATCGTAGTGTCAGTTATAGATTCCCGTACCGTAAGGACGGCATTCCTTCCTCCCGTAGAAATTTTTAAGTTTTATCTTTCACCGTAAAGATCTTTGACATGACCAATCACAGTGCATGTTAAGGACACGCGCTGTAGGGTGACAGCGCGCAGGCACAAAATATTTAAAATACATGATTGTTTTGTATTATTTAAGATAGGTGTTCAGTTTATTAAATAATTTGGGTCTCTAAATAGGATATTTAGATATTGTTTATGATCAATGTCTTTCATTTTTAGAAACGTTGCTTTGTAAAACCTCGTAGTTTCCCGGTCTTGGTAAAGTGGGCGAGTCTTCCAACGTCTTGTTCGATGTTTTTTTTTCATTATACTACTATGAAGAAAGGCAGTAACTACAAATGCGTTTTCTTGTGCTATGATAAAGCTATGGACATTTTGTATCTTAATTCAACAAAGAAATGCAGTAAACAATCTTTTAAGTTAAATAAATCAGTTAAATACCTACTGCTTTTTATAAAAATGTAGTTTATGGCTAATTTCCCACAAATTTCTTGTTTAGCAGTTACTGCCTTTCTTCATAGTTGGGCAGTATACAACAAGCTGCCTGGGCAATTAAAATTGTGATCACTGCACTAATATATATAATATATATATATATATATATACTAATATATAAATGTTTATCTTTCATATTTACAAACAATGGGTAAAACGCAGAATATAAACAAAAACAAATGTCAACAATTTTAGGTGTCATCGCGCATGGTTACGGAATTTTACAAGGAAATCTATAAATTGACTTTTTACAGGGCGCACAAATCGTACGGGCACGACTACGGGAGGAAGGAAGGAAAGCAATCTATAATTCAGGATAAAAAAATGTAATCCAAAAAATAAAAACAAAAAAAAGAGTTTTCATTTTAATATGCAGGGGTAGGGGTTAAGTTTTTCTTGCTATTATTTATAACTTGCATAAATAAAAAACTACTTACATTAGTGAACCAAACCATCTCCCAAAAATCCTGACAGGTGTGAGCCATTGGACCCTGTGTAGCTATATAAGTAGTTTCTGTATAATCAGGGCCCTAAAATAAAAATTTAATTTAAAAAAATATAACCTAACTTATTAGAAAAAAGATTCTCGTACCTTAATGTAGTTTGCGTGAATGTAACTCTGAGGGCCCGGCAAATGAACTCGACTGTGTTCATTGGGCAAAAACCCTCTGTATCGGTTTCTACTTTGAGACCCTGAAACGTAGCATTTCTCTTGCAGATTCAAAGGGACTTCCCAAAATTCTTGGTGCAGTTTTGGAACTCTGGTCATCTAAAAATAGTATAATTTTTAACACTTTATCAGTTAATAGTATCTTATGTATCAAGTTTGATAAACGCCGTTTTATACACGAATTTAATTTAGGCACGAGCCAGCTTGCGAGCGAGTGCTTAAATTAATGAGTGTATAGAAAAGTTTATAAACGAGGTGCATACTATACTTTTTCTACGACAAATACTTATTATTATCTTAAAATGATTTAAATCAAAAATTTGTATAGAGCGCCATCTATGAAACAATAGGGGAATCTGTGTGTTACCGTTAAATGTCAATTTTTTTTATTTTATAAACACAGATTATAAAGGTTATAAATCGAAATGTATTTCTTGAAAATTGACAGTTTTTCATAGTGAAAGTAAAGAAAATGTTTTATGAGCACTTTACAGTGGAGTCCAGTTATAGTTTACTGCCGGCGAAATTAAAAGGTCAGTACAATGTTCATATAAACTTTTCAAATATTGGCGTTGAGAAACTATTTATTACTTTTGTATTTTTGTATTGAGATAATAAAATAATGTTCACATTTGGTATTATTTTACAAGAAAGGCACTTTATTTCAACGATTGTATGACATTTGACCTGTCAACTAACTTAAAGCTAACTTCAGCCCGTGACTAAAAACCTGTTGATAACTTCGGCCCGTGTCTAAAGCGCCATAAAGCCGCAGCTTGTCAATGTGTATTTAAAAGGTCACTTAGTGTCATGAAACATGTTTATTTAATACAAAAGTTTAGACTAATATTCTTAATAATTTTACTAATTATTAAAGTTATTTTTTAACTATTGACTGGAGATACTTTTCAGACCATTTGTAAGGGTTTTATAGCTCCAATTTTTTTTGTAAATACCTAGGGTTTAACTTCGAAAAAAATCCCTTGGAATTTTGTTTATTTGGGCACGAAAATATTGCATTAAAAGTCCCAAACAAACGCCTAGTATCGAAGGTGGAAGGTCAAAGGTCATGAAAAACTGTTTTTCTGGATTATCTCGTGAGCTATTGATTTTATGCAAAATTTGATGGTTATGAAATTTGTTCCTCATAAAAATCTGTATAAAAATGGTCCTAAGCGAAAATTACGTGGATTCAATAGTTCTCGAGATATGAGGTTGAGAAAAGTTGAAGACCCTTGAAGACACTTTATATATTTTGACCTGTTAAACTCAAAAATCACAATAATTTTGTTTTATGTCAGGGTTTGTTTTAAGTAAATTTTTTTTGGTTGTTTATTTATTGTTAACCGTATGACACAGTTTTAACTCAAAATAGGTTCCAATTGTAAAGCTACCCATATCTTGAGAGCTATTAGTGCTACGTACATTTTGCATGGGGCCATTTTTATACAGATTTTCATGAGGAATAAATTTTGTAATAACCAAAATTTACGCAAATTCAATGGTTTACGAGTTAATCGAGAACAACTGTTTGTGTGATTTTTGTCCATGCTGGATTTTTGCTGGATCAACATCAATCCAGCTGTACCCAGCAATTTATAATTTTTAGGGTAAACCACATAGTTATTGGACACTTAAGGAATATTATTTATTTAAAATTTATATATGCTGTTGTTTTAAAGATTTTAGTTTTTTTTATAAATATATAAAAATAGTTTGTTTGTTTAAACTTTATTTACGTTTACTTAAAAATAAGTATATTTGAATTTTTAATAATGGTTTTAAAAAAACATGCAAAAAAGTATAGTAATTGGACATTTTATATAGTAATTGGGCACATGGACCATAGTCATTGGACATACAATTTTTATATAAACATAATAACTTTACATCAAATAACATAAATTGTTAAATATTTTTTAAAGATAAATTGCTGTTTTTGGTAATTTTTTTTATTTCGTTTTTGTAAATATCATATGATTCATGTATTTCTTTCTCGTTCCTCATCCCTTTTCTGGATTCTGAAGGTAACCACTAATTCCTTGGTCTGACTTCTGAAATAGTTCGTTGCAAATATCATCAAGTGTGGTATCTCTAGTTTGTGAAGCATTTATAACGTTTAGGCCGGAACAGGATGATTTATATATATCTTAGACTGGATCAAAAAAATTGACTATTTTTTTTTTTGAAAAATATATCGAGAATGTCATTCAGAATGACAAAAAAAATTTCGTAAAAATTTGAGCCCTTAATATTAATTTTAAGAGGTCAATCATCGCTTTTTTTGATTTTTAGTCATAATTTGATGTTTTACGTTAGAACTATCAAAACATTAAAGTGAAAAAAATTCCTTTTCACTTATTTTTATATAAAATTAAATTCTCTACAAAAAAGGTGTAATTGAAAATTTTCGTCAGACGAGCCGAGTAATTGAGCTTAATAAATCGATATGTTTTTTCGATTTGCCCTTTTTACTTTAAAATTTTGTAACTAATGAATCAATGAATATTTAAAAAAGCTCACGTAGGATTCTTAAAGGAAATTTAATGTTCTACAAAAAAGGTCTCCTAACATTTTTGCCTAAATTTAATTCTTCAAAAGTTATTCACGAAGAAAAAATTGAAATTTTAAGTTTTTCTTCGATTTTAATCGTGAATAATTTTTGAAGAATTAAATTTAGGCAAAAATGTTAAGAGACCTTTTTTGTAGAACATTAAATTTCCTTTAAGAATCTGACGTGAGCTTTTTTAAATATTCATTGATTCATTAGTTACAAAATTTAAAAGTAAAAAGGGCAAATCGAAAAACACATTTATTAAGCTCAATTACCCGGAAACGGCTCGTCTGGCGAAAATTTTCAATCGTACCTTTTTTGTAGAGAATTTCATTTTATATAAAAATAAGTGAAAAAGGATTCTTTTCACTTTAATGTTTTGACAGTTCTAACGTAAAACATCAAATTATGACTAAAAATCAAAAATAGCGATGATAGACCTCTTAAAATTAAGGGCTCAAATTTTCACAAATTTTTTTTTGTCATTCTGAATGACATTCTCGATATATTTTTCAAAAAAAAAATAGTCATTTTTTTTGGCCCAGTCTAATAATAATATATCTAATAATAAAGTATTTTCCGAATTTATTAATTTTGTTGCCATTAGTTTTTTATGTTCTGCGAAAAGTGCGGTGTGGAAAGGGGTGCGGCAGGTTTGTTTTAAGGAAATAGTTTGTTGTTGGGAGCATTTTATAGAGAATTTTATGAGGAATAAATTTTGTAATGAACAAAATTTACGCAAATTCGGTGGTTCACGAGATAATCGAGAAAAATTATAGTAATACAAGAAATACGAACCTCACAGGTTTGCTTTAAATCCGCCACGGACAAAGTGTTCCCGGCCGTCTGAAGGTATTGAATGTTCTGCAGGTGCAACTTGAAATCCTCGGATAAAAGCTGCGACGACTCCAGATCGGGTTGCCTCGGGTAGTAAGCCTTTCTGTACCCCTTGCAATGTTTTCCACCACCGGAACAATCCTTGAAGGAACCGCTCTGACAGAACCCGCAAGGTGGAACGTAGAGGTTTTCGTTAGATAGAGATTTGCGTCTGCTTTTTGAGCAGCTGCACTTCTTCTGGTTGTGGCACTTCACGGCGCATACGTACCCCTTGCTGGGCACCGACTCGTAGATGATGCAGTTTCCGCAGGTTTCCTGTGATTTCCTGCGTTCGATGCACTTAGGCTGAAAGTCGCTCTTCTTAACGCAGTTGCAGTTGTTCTGCGAGCCGAACGCCGTCAAGTTGAGGTTAGAAACGCTCTTCGCGGTGTTCAATCGCGACAGCGGAGCGGGTTTCGCCTCGGCGATGCTGGAGTTCGACCCCAGGTCTATGGTGAGGCTGGCATTCGAACCTCGCCGCTCCAGCAACCCCTTGCTTTTGATCCTCACCGGTTGAGCGGCGGGGTTTTCCCCGAAATCATGCAACGTCATGATCTCGGGCAGCGTTTTCAACGTCTGCGACCCGGATATACTGCTGTTAGACGCGAACTTTTTCAAGTTGGAATTCACCGGCGCTAAAGTGATTCTGTGCGTTCCGTCGTCGAAGTCGGCCGAGAGTTTGTGCTTGATCTGCTTCTTGGGCGTGTTGGGCATCGAGAATACGTCTCTCGATAATTCCAGACTCGCCGTTTCTTTTACGGGTGGGTCGGAGTCGAGACTCACCGCCTTTAGTTTGCGCGACAACGTGGGGGTTTTGGGCGAGTTTATCACTAATACGGGATTTGTGGTGTTCAGCGTGCTTTGGTCAGCGAGGTTCAAACACGTCGGGAGGATTCGCTCTTTTTTGATCGGGTTTATTTTATTTAAATTATCCATTTTCGCTTAACTTTATTAAAACCTTAAAAACACAAATAATTAGTAACTTTGCACAACCTATACTGCCGTCCTGTATAAAGCCTGAATTATAGATTGCCTTCCTTCCTTCCTTCCTCCCGTAGAAGATGAACATTACGTAATTGTCACCATTAACATTTCCCGTGTAGGAATTTTTAATACTTTGTGATAATATTTTGCAATTATAGTAATAAAATGTTAATGGTGACAATTACTTCAAAAATGTTTATTTAAATCGTAGTGCCATTTATAGATTCCCGTACCGTAAGGACGGCATTCCTTTCTCCCGTAGAAATTTTTAAGTTTTATCTTTCACCGTAAAGGTCTTTGACATGACCAATCACAGTGCTTGTTATGGACATGCGCTGTAGGGTGACAGCGCGTAGGCACAAAATATTTAAAATACATGATTGTTTAGTATAATAATAATTATTTAAGATAGGTGTTCAGTTCATTAAATAATAATAATAATAATATGTGTCTCTAAATAGGATATTTAGATATTGTTTATGGTCAATGTCTTTCATTTTTAGAAACGTTGCTTTGTAAAACCCCGTAGTTTCCCGGTCTTGGTAAAGTGGGCGAGTCTTCCAACGTCTTGTTCGATGTTTTTTTTTCATTATACTGCCCTACTACGGAGAAAGGCAGTAACTACAAATGCGTTTTCTTGAGCTATGATAAAGCTATGGACATTTTGTATCTTAATTCAACAAAGAAATGCAGTAAACTATCTTTAAAGTTAAATAAATTAGTTAAATAGGTACCTACTGCTTTTTATAAAAATGTAGTTTATGTAATTTCCCACAAATTTCTTGTTTAGCAGTTACTGCCTTTCTCCTTAGTTGGGCAGTATACAACAAGCTGCCTGGGCAATTAAAATTGTGATCACTGCATAAATGATTATCTTTCATATTTACACACAATGGGTAAAACGCAGAATATAAACAAAAACAAATGTCAACCATTTTACGTGTCATCGCGCATGGTTACGGAATTTTACACGGAAATCTATAAATTGACTTTTTACAAGACGCACAAATCGTACGGGCACGACTACGGGAGGAAGGAAGGAAGGCAATCTATAATTCAGGCTTTAGTGTTACAACAGACTTCCAAAGATTTTGACGTTTTTTTTTTCGTTAAACCATCCATTTAAATGACGATGATCAAAGGTCAAAGTGTGATCACTTTTCACATAATATTTGTATAGTCTAAAAACAATTGACGATAGGCAGGGTAAACAAATAATTTGAATTATTTGAAAAAAGCCAACAAAAAATTCAAAAAAAAAATGGATATTTTTTATTTATTTCAAACTCAAGCGTAAAATTTCTTACAAAAATATATTGTTGCATGTCTAATTACACTAGTTTACATCCATTTTACCCACCATGTCTCACTATGATTTTCTTGTGTGGTTTGGCTCACTAAACGCGAATTAAAGAATAAACATATTACAAAATAAAATAAAAAAAAATAAAATAAAAATCGTGAAAAGGCTGAATTTTGGTCTTCCATTAAAAAATTCATAACTTTGCCATTTTTTCATGTATTTTTATCAACATTAGCTTTTTTTTGTAAAAATGTCAGCTTCACGAAAAAAAATTCAAACTGGAGTTATATGTTTGATTTAAACCCTTCCCAGGACGATATGTAAATTTTCGACCACAATTCTTGCCATAAAAACGAATTTTTTAAGTTATTAAAATCGCTAGCGTCAAAATACTTATACGATATAACAAGTATGCAAAAGAAAGTTTTAGAGGGCTCAAATACCTTTAATTTAAGGGGTTCTTTAAACAAATAGATCAATTAGATTTCAAGCTATATTCAAAAACGTCAAAACACCTCCGAAAATTGAAAAAAAAACAATTGAAAATTCATATGTCAAAATACATGGGAAAATTATGTATTTGTCATCAAACTGTCAAAAGTCAATTTTAAGGTTAATTTGTGGGTATGGTACATTTGTGGGTTATGGTAAATTAACCTAAAAATTTATATTTGACAGTTTGATGACAGCCCTGATAGAATAAGGTTTATTTTTTACAAAACAGGAGTAAAATGGTTGTAAACAGCACAAACTCAAAGCAAAAGAATTGTAAACAGCATAATAATGGCCGCAGTTAGAGTCTGCGCAGTGGGTTGCCTAACGTGATCATTAGTATGCGCGAAACGAGATAGAACAACCTTGTGTGGATTGTGGTTTTAATCAGGACTTTGGATTTAACTTATTCTGAAATTTTTGAAACTTGTGGTACAACTTTTGTAGATATCCCCAAAATCATTAAATTTTCCAAGATTATCACGTCTTTTATATAAATATTTCATGTTTCAATTTTATTCCAAATAAAAAATAAAATAAATATTTCGATTTTTGAAAATTGTCCAATTTTGGCTAATAAATGATCCTCATTATTTGATTAAGAAAATATATATGAGAAGCAATATCTTGAAAACAGAGCTAATTGAGCAAAAGTTGTTGGTGATGAGTGTTATTGGGAAAATAGCTTTTATCGAGATTAGATTGATTTTTTAAACCCCTGTCTCAAAAGCTTTAGAATGTTATCCTTATTTCAGCAAATTTTTTATACATTTTCACCCTTTGATCTCTGACCAAGGTATTTGCAAAAAATATAGATTTATGTCCATTTAGTCCACTATATTTTGTCAGGCAGATATTTTAAGAAGACACTTCCTTTAAAATGATGGCAATGCTTATTTTTCAAAAGAAGTAAAACTAAATAATAAAGAATTGTGTATAATTTGTAATACTGTACTTACTTATGCAACTAAAACGAATTTTTCTTAATCCTATATACAAATATCCTGTTTTTTCAGCTTGACTCAATGTTTATATTTACTTGCCATTCAGCGTGATTTTGCTACTTAAGTAAATAAATGCGTGTGGTGACTTCCTTCATTATTACCACCAAATTAGTCGCCTAGTTGATTTATTAATAACGGGCAAGAATATTCCGACATAACTATTATTTTTTCACAATAAACACTTATTTGACATTTTTACTCTGTTCGATGACATATATACAGCGATCAACTTTATCGGCCTCTTGGATTTCAAATTAATCAATACCATGGCAGTGCCGAAAAAATATTTGAATCAAAACAACCAAAAAGTTTTTAGTGAAAACCACTTTAAAGTGATTACTGACAATACATATTTTTTTAGAAAAATTTGTTTTGCATGTGTGTTTGACTACTTTTACTAAATTTGTTACAGCGAACACGATGTTTTAAAAAGGGTTTTGTGCACGCCTATGTGGTTTGTTGTCAAGTGGCGTCATCTCCCGTCGAAATGTCAAAGCACGGTGATAGTTTGAGAAACATTTGCGAATCGCTGATGTCAAAGAACGTGTCAGAGTGAGGAAAGTTCGAATTTTCGGCGAAAATGATGGAAAAACGTTAGTTGTGAGAGAATATGTGTTAAAAAACGTCGAAAATGATCGATTATTAAGCGCCCAGCGCGAAAAAATGGACTCGTTAGCTGCCGATTTAGCCATACAAGCGATTTTAGGTGAGTAGTATTTTTCCGAGTTTTTTTCTTGTTACAATAATTTTATTTTTATTTTGATTTGCGTAAATAATATTTGGGTTTTTTTCAATGGGGTACCGTAGGGGAAAGTTTATGTTCGTAAGTAGTTTAAATTGGTGCATTGTATTCTTGTTTAGTGTTATTTATTGGATTAATAGAATAATGTATGTCTTAAGAGGGGGAGTATATGTATCTCTTGACATTATTAGGTTGTATTTGCATTATTTTCTTGAACAATTATGAGAACAATTGCGTTTGCTCCTATTGGAGTTGTTATTGTTGAAAAAAAGCGCAATTGGACATTCAACAAGTGGTTTTGATTGACAGCGATGAGAAAATCGCAGGAGGCTTTTCGCGTTTGACACCACAGGCAACTACCTAGATTGTGATAATTATATCGGTAATGAGCGAAATTTGTTAGGTGCACGTATTTTTTAACGTATTTATTAATTACAAATTGCGGATTTTTGCACAAGGTCGTTTATCTTTAGCATATTTATGCAAATAGTTTGAACACTAAAGCGGAATTCATCTTAATTGTTGATATAATAGGTCATTAGTTGGTCAATAGTTTCGACTAAGTATTATAATACTTGTATAAGCTAGTTTTAGTAGGTACTTGGATGTTTTGCACATAATAGGTACAGGGTGATCCCCTATAATGTTGCCCCCCTTTAACTTTTTTATTGTCCCAAAAAATTTAAAAGTGTGGTTATGTAGGACCTAAAAAATACTTTTTTTCTACGTAAAATAAAAATTGAAAAATTGATCAATATACAGGGAAAAACAAAAAGTTTATTTTTTTTTCAATGGATCACCCTATATATGAATTTATTTTTCGATTCCTTTCAAAATTTTGAGCATAATTTATATAACAAACCATATAAAATTCAACTGTTTCTGAAATATTCGCATTCGAAATGTTTTTTTAAACTGTTAGAAATCAAGAAGCTACAGTATACCAAAATTTTTATTGAAAATAAATTACTATAGTGACATTATGTCAATGTCTTGTTAAATAAGTAAAAATGGCGTACTCAGACAGGGAAAGACAAACTATTTCAAATTATCTTAAAAATAATTTAAATATTTTAGAAACGGTTGAATTTAGGTAAATGGTATGTTATATGAAATATGCTTAGAATTTTACAAGGAATCGAAAAATAAATACATATATAGGGTGATCCATTGAAAAAAAAATAACTTTTTGTTTTTCCCTGTATAATGATCAATTTTCCATTTTTTTTATACGTAGAAAAAAAGTATTTTTTAGGTCCTACATAACCACACTTATTTTTTGAGACACTTAAAATAAAAAAGTTAAAGGGGGGCGACATTATAGGGGATCACCCTGTACCTATTCCTAGATTTTTTAGGTAAAAACTTCACACACTTTACATGTGAATAGGTATGACAAGAATAGTAGAATACTATACTTTTTCTACAACAAATAATGATTATTATCTAAAAAATTATTTAAATTAAATAGTTGTATAAAGCGACATCTATACGAAAATACAATAAACATTTTTGACGTAATTTTCATTGATTTTTTTTGCTATAATTGCAAAATATTATCACAAAGTACCTATTGAAAATTCTTACACGGGAAATGTTACAAATGTACAAAAAGTTGTATTTATTGGAATTCCCGTTATAATTTCTAACTTGGGAATCTACCGGCGTTAAAATCTCAAATTTGTTTGTGTAAATCAAAATTTATCCCTTGAAAATAGACTAACAACCGATATAGAAGCAGTTTTTCACAGTAAAAAAAGAAGAGAATGTTTTTTGGGCACTGTTTATGAGGCGCCGTTTGTGTCAAAATTAAAAGTAAAAAATAAACTTATTTTGCTTTATAAATAATTAATTATATGCATTATTTACCAAATTATTTTTTTACGAAATTATTTTTTTATCAAGTTTTTTTTTAATCAAATTATTTTTCCTTTTTTGAGGGGAAATTTGCCGATTTGGTGTATTATCTACCTTATGCGCATAGTCAGTTCATGAGTGGGGGATTTGAAATAATATATGATACCATAGACATATTAATATGGTATGATACGAATTGTAAACTAAATTAAATTTAGGTTATATCAAATTTTATAATAATTATATAAAAGTCGCTAAAAATCTCGTAAAGACAATGAAAAAAAGCAATACTAAAACAATTGGTATACTACAGAAAACAAACAAAATGGTTAATTTTAATTATTAAAACCATCTAAATATTAATATGTCTATAATAAAAATCGTGGTCATAATACAACGTTGCCAAATTTTTACTGTTATAAACATCCCTAGTAGCAATGGAATTGGACAAGATTCTTTGTCAAGATACTTGGAGAAGCACTTTGTAAAGAATTGGACAATTCTTGACCAAGACTCTTGATCAAAATTCTTTATCCAGACTGGTGGCAGACTTGGACAAGTCTTTGACCAGAATTTGACCAGATGCTTGGCCAAGAATTTTTACACGATTACACGTTAAATAGGAACTTTCAATTCAAGATTTTTGGTCAATACCTACAAAATTTTGTTGAACTTCAAAAGTTAAGAATGTTACTAAAAACATTAATTTTCCACGATTTATTTCCAGTAAATTCGGTTTTTATCCATAAATCTGGTAAACAATAGAATTAAAAACGAAACAAATTTTGAAAGAGTTAAAGTTTTTAATTTTCTATGTTAAAAAAAAACAGGTGCCCGTAAAAATAAACATGTATTTTATAATCTTTCATGTTCATAAAGAGTAAACTCTAATTATGCGTCAGAGCTGACACACACTTTTTTTTTAATTTTTGATTTTTAGAAATAACAATTTTTATTTTTCAAAAAATCAATTTTTTTCTCAGCTAGAAGACGAATCCAATAAGCTCTTATTCGTATTTTCACATAAACAAAAAAACTATACTCATTTCCTACAGAGAACTCACTTCTTGACTAGTATACATTATTGTGAATGATACTACTGTAGAATGAGAACCTCTACTCTATAGGATAGTCCCAAAGTTTAGCAATAGATGGCCTCAGATTTCTGGTCAAATTCTTGTCAAATTCTGGCCACAGACTGGCTCAAGTCTTGCCCAATAATCTTGGCCAAGAATCTGGAACAATTCTTGTACAATTCTTGAGCAAAAATCTGTCCAAAGTATCTTGACCCATGCTGGGCCAAGACTTTTCCGGAATTGCTACTAGGGATGCCATTATAAAATCCAAAATTCATTATAAGACCAGGCTGTGTTTAAATTACAATAAAAAATATTTCTAAAAAGTGTACAGATCAGTGTGTGGTATAAATGTGTTCCTCATGGTTTAAACATTGTCACTTTAATGCGTTTTAATTTTAATTCTAAAAACAAACAGTGAAATGGCCAGTGTCCAATTACTGGTTGGTAAAAAATGTAAATTTCTATTATTGGACATATGTCCAATATCATCCTCTATTTGTATCCCGGACATTTACCAGCCAATTCTTATGTAAAGTTGTCCCCTGAATCCGAAATGACCGTCAAAAACTATAAAAGTTAAGCAGTTTTTGAGATACCTATAGCCAATTCCATATTATATGTAAAATTGATTATATTTCAAAAACTGTTCTACTTTTATAACTTTTGACGACATTTTCGGATTCAGCGAATAATATTTCATAGGAATTGACTGCTAAATGTCCTGGATACAAATTGCTGTTGACGAGAATTATTGGTGGTTGCTTTTTCGCTATGACATTTTTGACTAATTCATTTTTAGAGAGTAAGTAATATAGTGATTTCTTCGTCACAGGAGTCCTGTGACAGGACATCTTGCAGAATAATAGTGATTTAAATACAGTGCATGATAGAGAACATAAAAAACTAATGGCAACAAATGTAATAATATTAGATATACAGGGTGTTTCAGAATAAGATGCTGAACCTTACGGGTGTGAATCCTTAGTTGATTTTAAGAAAAAAAGTTTAAATAAACCTATGACCTAAACCTCTTAATTTTTGAGTTACAGGGTGTTAGAGTTTTAAGAAAAAAATCGTTTTTTATCATAACTTTAATAACTTCCTACATATTTTCATAAAATTTGGCACACGCCTTCTAAGCATTAACAGTAAGTTTTTGATGTAGAAGATTTTTTATTTTTTTAAAAGGGGCGTCCGTACAGGATGTGGTCTAGATATTTTTGGAAAAATATTATGCACGCCACTGCTATTTTTCAAAATAAAAATTATTTTTTAAATCCCCATTTATTTTAGGGCAAATTTGATTTCTTGACCATTTTTCGTACGACTAACGGTTTTCGATTAAAAAAATAAAAAGCATTTAATGCGCATATTGAGAAAACAATGCCATGATTAAATAAACATTAAAATTAAATTTAATAATAAAATAATTTTAAAATAACGTAAACAAAAACAAAAATAATTTAGATTAGCTGTTGAAAGTGGCCACCACCTGCAAGTATGCATGCTTCAGCTCTTCTCCTCATTGAGTTTCGTACCCTTAGAAAAATTCCTGGAGTGTTTCTGTCACAACAAACTATTATGCGGTTTCTCAACTTCTCCTCAGTATTTATTGGGGTGCTGTAAACCAACGCCTTAAGATGTCCCCATAGGAAAAAATCTAGACTGTTCCTCCGCGCCCTATCCAGCGATTTATCAAAAACTTACTGTTAATGCTTAGAATGCGTGTGCCAAATTTTACAAAAATATCTAGGAAGTTATTAAAGTTATAATAAAAAAACGATTTTTTTCTTAAAACTTTAACACCCTGTAACTCAAAAATTAAGAGGTTTAGGTCATAGGTTTATTTAAACTTTTTTTCTTAAAATCAACTAAGGATTCACACCTTTAAGGTTCAGCATCTTATTCTGAAACACCCTGTATATAAATCATGCTGTTCCGGCCTAAACATTTTAAATGCTTCACAAACTAGAGATACCACACTTAATGATATTTGCAACAAACTATTTCGGAAGTTAGACCAAGGAA